TGCTCGTCCCGAGACGAACTACGTCACGATTGCGGTGCATGCCACATGCTATCCGCTGGCGGTTCCCCGAGCGCTTGCCATAGTGGGCCGTTTATAACGAAAAATACAGCCACCAGCCTCAAGATAGAAACGTGCGATTGTCATTTACGGATATATTGTGGATCATACTCAACCTATTTTTGAACAAGACGGGTATATTTGAAATTTCGTTGAAGTATCCTCCGTTCCCGGCCACCCCTTCGGAAAAAGGAGCGCGCCTCGCGCCCTGGCCCTTTCTAATTTTGAAGTGGCCCTTTAAGCGATGGCGCGTCACCGCGACGGTCAAGGGTTCAAATTTCCGGGGACGCAAAATGGCGACTGCGCTGCCAACCGCAATAAAACAAACAAAAAAGACCATCGACAAAAGGATGCGATATACTAAAAAAAAAATACAGCGGCTCTAGCACCAATCGTCTGGTCATGAAACGATATCGGGTTGGAATGTTCATGACTTTACAGAGGCGTACTGGTTCTAGTACTCACACGGACCGCCGCCACTGATTCAGAAGCTTCTTGGTCGCGGCGAAATTGCGAGGATAAAAGGGGACTATTTCCTTTAGTCTCGCCTTCGGAAAGCTTGATGACGTAACTGTCGGATCAAAACCACCCGCCTGACGACCGTCGAGCGCGGCTCATGTATTGGACACGACAAGTCCGTGTGCACTCCGGCTCGCAACAGACACTCGGGTAGTGGCTCGCGTTCAACCACTGCGGTGATGAGAATAGTCGAACATTTACAATGCCTGGAGCTGAGCACGCGTTTTCTACTTCGCCGACCCGAGCGCGTGGCTATGGTTAACGTTGACAGCACAGGATAGGCACCAGGCCACGTGGCCGCTTGTTCTGGATGAACGATGTTCATATCCCGTACCAAAATGTCAGATTCAGGCCGGAATGAAAAATGCCGGTTCCGCCTAGACCCAAAATTGGGGCACCAGTTTGTATCCAGCCTGGAACCGCGCAGTTCCAACCCCAGTTTTAAACCCAGGACCGTTGCACCGCCGGAATTCCCGCTGCGCTCACCACTGGACTCTACCAAAGAATATTGTGTTCTGCCCTTAGCCGTTACAACCGAGAGATCGTCACGATTTCAGACCCAGGCGGACTGGGTCTGAAATCGCAGTGTCGGTGGGCGATTCTTGCGGTCTCTCGCAGGTGACGTGTTAGGGACAGGCGCATCCGCTACGCAGGCGCTGCGAGCGGGCGTTCTTCGCGCGCGCTCCTCGCGTTGTCTGTTGCAGTCGGCGGCAGTGCTCCCCCCCTCTTCCGAGTTTAGGTTCTTCGCTCTCGTCGGACTGTCGGCCGGCGCTCGCCCGGCGGCGACGTTCGCGTTGCGGGCGCACGGATACTGATCAGTGTTGCTGAATGGGCACCCCCATTCCATTCCAATTCCATTCCAGGGAATTAGAGTTTTCGATAATTCAATTCCTTTCAATTCCTAGGAATGGAGACACTGAGCCCATTCCCACTCCTGGAATGGCTAAATCGTTCCCATTCCATTCCTTTAATTCCTAAACGTAAAAATTGGCACTTGACAGCTACATTTTGTTGCCGGCATAAGCAGCATAAAGCTGACATTATCAAATGCAGAGACAATTGCAAAAAAAAAAAGAGAAAAAAAAGCTAAATTCCTCAAAAAAGCACTGATTTTTACTAAGCGGACCGCTGGTGGCAAAAAGTGTTTATTTACCATGTACTGCAAACATCGAGAAAGCCCCTTGATATGTCAATGCTTGTTTAAGACATCGGTCTCGCGACCACGTGGCTCGCAACAAACAGCAAAACTTAAATCCACTTTTTCTTTTCTTTTTTTAAGTTTTTTGCATTTGACTGTTAAGACATACGCGGCCAGCGTGTTTGTTTGATAAGACAATAAAGAATATCCAGTTCGTGCGTGGCACAGGAATAAGTTATATTCCTGTATTCTTCAAATACAGCAACACGGCTAGTACAAGTACATCGGTGGCCGAGTGGGCTAGCGCACACCAGCTCGGAGCACGTGGAGCGAAAGCTCGCGCTGCAGAACCCAGGGATCCTGGGTTCAATCCCCACCCCTGCCCGTTTCGATCTGGATGAGCATCGTACCGCAGGCTAGCGGTTGTACTGCACTGGCTAAATTGCTCATCTACAGCTGGGAGACTCGTCGCCCCTGTGAGGCAGACCAAGTTCTAGGCTGTATAAACATACCACACAACCCAACCCACCCAAGTACATTGCTGGAAGCGACTCCATGCGCAGCGGCAATACACATCCTCTGACAAAATGCAACCTCTGCGGCGCAGCACGAGGGACCGTATAGACAATGTCACAAAACCTGTTTTAAAACGCATAAGTTCACGCTTGCTTTACGAATCTTGATATTTTTTATCATATTCAATTCAATTTTTGGCTGGTTCGCCTGCCCTTTTCCACCCTTCGCATACTCATTCTCGTGTTTCCTCTTCAGATGGCGAATAAAGTTCGATGATATACGCCGACTGCACCGTGTATAGTTTCGTTGTACAACTTTCAGCGTGCAGCTTGTTTATTTTCTTCGCGACTAATGTAGAAAAATGTCTTCTACGATGCCATGACTCTTCTTTTGGGTCTTCTCGACCCAAATTGTGATGTTCCTCTTCGCGCTGATCAAGTGGCGGGTTCAGGCGGCAGGCGGTACCAACCGATTCATTCTTCTACCTCGGTGTCGGTTGTTCGCGTAGTGGCGGCGGGTCGGGAAGTCGGCGTTGACAAAGCTCTTCACATCAAGATACAATTAACGGGGTAATACCGCACCGTTTGAATCGACATTCCCCGTGTTTCCTCATTAACACCGTCCAACTGACTTCTCACCGCCTCAAATAGGGTCTGCAGGACAAGGAGCACGAATGCAGACCGGACAGCCGAGACGTGCGGAAGCCAAAACCTCGGTGGCAGCTACCACCCAGCTCTCCTTCTCAGTTGCCCTCACAGCAACAGTCGCACCTCGTCTGGCGCGGGACGGTCTTTCTGCAGGTCTAGTCAGTTCGGTCACACCAAGAGCAGCGACGATAGTCTACTTCACCTTACGATGGACCTCAACAGACAGCATGAGAGCCATCGAAACGAATCCAGTGCTTTCTGAGTGTCGGGTGACCCTGCAGTCCCGCTCACAGTGCTGGATCGCCTAGGGTGACTCGTAGCGTCCGCAGTGGTCCATCGCAAGGTGAAACGAAGTATGGAGAGAGAGACTAAAGTCAAAGGAAATGAGCGGGAATCCGCTAGCTTGCTTGTAACCCCAACCCACTATAACATAAAACACAGAAAACAAGCATCGGAACAAAGACCAAGTAATAGGCAGACAAACAATACAAATGCAGTACACAAAAAAAAAAAAAAAAAAAGCCTCGGAGCAAAGCGCAAGAGGAGAAGAGGGAAGTGAATCTCGCTTTGTTTTAATGCCGAAGCAAACCCACATTTCACACTTCAAGGGAGTGCGCACGAATGAATGTGAAAGGCAGCAGGGTTGGCTGCCTGCTAAACAACGCGCCTCGAACTATAGGAACACAATACCTGATCATCTTTCGACGGCGCCCAAGTCAACGAGTTCTGCGAGTTATGAGTCGCTTCCGCTCCCAGATCTCACTCAGTCTGTGCGCGCGCGTGCATTCTACAAGCCGTCGCAACAACAAAAAAAAAGCATGACAAGAAGTACGATGAGGAGTTGTGCATGGCGGTTTCTTTCTTTGCCACTCCCTTTTCTTTTGCTTGGTGCTTGGTTTCTTGTTTCGCTCTCGTGTAACGCCATCGAAGCCCGACGCCTGCGCATCCGTGAAAGGAGCCCCTTTGCTCTTTGCTTTAACGCTTGTTTTTTGTATTGCATTTTTTTGGCGTATAAGTCGGCTCCACGCGGGCTAGCAGTTTCCCGCTCATTTTATTTCTGAGCAACTGACTCACTGACTGGCTCGGATTAGCTAACAGTAAACACAAAAAAAAAAAAAAAAGAAAAAAAAAAGAAGAACCGTGCCCATTCCATTCCCGGCAAAAGGCACCTAATTCCATTCCCATTCCATTCCCCTCAACGTTGCCGCCATTCCATTCCCATTCCATTCCGGGGTCGTGAAAATGCGGAATGATTCCGGAATCATTCCAACTCCGGAGTGGCAACTCCGCAACACTGATACTGATGCACCCATTGTTGCCCTGGATGGATACCCACTGACCTCGGCTTTGGATCTTCATAGTATGAAGCTGCCGACCCATTGCACTTTGGCTCGGCATCTGGATGCGCTTGGCGCTGGTGTGCTTGGTGATAATACCATAATACTTGGACAACTAGGGATACCGCTTGCCCGTCGGAACTTCCCGATGCGCTGGATACAGTGCTTGTGCTTGCTGTGTGTGTGTTCCGTGCACCGTGCTTGGTGACGACGCCTGGACGACAGTGTGCGCCTCTCATCACTGGACTCTACAAAAATATTTCGCTCGCGATTTCAGACCCAGGCTCTTGCGCCTGGGTCTGAAATCGCGACGATCTCGCTTACAAGCCAGGCTCTGGCTTGCAATCTACGAGCGAGGGATTTAAGAGTTAAGGGGAAGCTCCTTTTACCACATTCTACTTTAGCAGAGCGAACGCTGAAGAGAGGCCGCCTCCTCCCCAGCGTTCGCTCTGCTAAAGTGGAAGGGGGTGGGAGCTCGAGCTCCCCCTGAATTCTTAACCTGTAACCTAAGAATATTTCATGATGGTCTCCCATAGCTACAGTGACTTAAACATCACTTTTGTGCCCATTGTGACTTATCCTTAGTTCCCAAGTTTTTCACAAAGATGCTTCTCCCCTATCTTTCCTATTAGCACCCTTCGTTTCCTAACAAAGAATCCTTGAACCAATACCCAAATGGGGCACCAGTTCTTTGCAAAGGGGTGGATTGTGTAGTACGTAAGTAGTTTGTGATAGTATTAAGTGATTGCACAAGACTTCAACCACGCAAACAAACAATGTGCTCTATTACTGCGAGAATGAAGAATACTGATCATCATGTTTAATCACATTTATCTCTAGCTCCTAGCTCAATGGTGAGAACCCACTAGACTCATGTGGATGCAGGTCTCCGGCTGTTGTGGGCCGCTCGTCCTGAGAAGAAACACACTGGTGAAAGTTTGAAACAAAGATTCATAACAAAAGTTAAACAAAAAGTTTGATTACTCTTTATATGACATTTGTAGAACTCTCAAAGGGGCACTAAACCACTTTCTGCTATAGTCTTTTTATGGTCACAGCTCAATCTGTAGGCTATAAGCACCTTAAAGGGATACTTCAACGAAATTTGAAATATTCCCGTCGTGTTCAAAGATAGGTTGAATATGATCCACAATATCCGTAAATGACAATCACACGTTTGTATTTTGAGCCTGGTGGCTGTATTTTTTGTTATAAACGGCCCACTCTGGCAAGCACTCAAAGAAGGCCCAGTGGAGACCACGTGACATCTAACGCAATCGAGACGTAGGTCGTCTCAGGACGAGCAAAGCTACGGTGAGGCTGATGTCGAGAGGATAGCCTAGTCGTTCAGCCACTGAAGCGGCTGCTTTTGTACGAATTTTGAGTGACGGGTTAATCTTCTGTAATCTTGTAGGGGGACAATAGCGACTTCTGCGACACACAAAAGGCATTCTCGGGAAGAGGGGAGTTTCTCGTTCCCCCCTTCTCTCGTCGTGGCCGGAGGCTAGACGACATCCGTCACTAGCTGTCAAGGTTCCCAGACGGGCATTACAAGCGAGGCGTTAGCGACATCCACCAGGTGCTCTTTGCTAATCGTTTAATTTGTTTTAAAATTCGTTTTTGTGACTTTTTTAACAAGATATTGGTATGTTCAATATGATGCTGCTCCTTTGAACACATATAGACCAAAATATGAGTGCCGAAATTTCATTGTAGTATCCCTTTAAGAAACAAACATTACATTCATGTGTGGCTGAGGTATCAAAAGATTGATTATCTAGGAACTATCGTGGACACCAGAGGGCGTCGTCGCATGAGAAAAGGCAGGGATCTGACCCTCCCTGGTCCAATTGCACCACCTGATGTCAATCTTTTGATACTGATTTTAATATAGAAATCGGCCTCGCATGAATGCAATGTTTGGTTTATACACAAACTCATCTCTGTTACGTCACGCCGCGGTGGTGGCGCGTTGGGCGCACTTCCGCTCTGGGGTTGTGGGCGAAACTCCCCATTTGATACGTGTATTTCTGCATTGTTTTAAAAGGAAGCTGACAAAAACCTGCCTTTTCGTCACACTGCCGTGACTGGGGCTGCCCCAAAGGAGTTGCGGAAGGTTTGAAGATCAGTTTTCATGTGTTCGGTTCGTCCGAGAACGTGGATGTGTGCCGTGAAATTGGAAAACCAGACGCCGTCGGACCATGATTGCTTGGGCGGGAAGCACTTTGGGTTGAATTCACGTATACTTGTGGTCATCACATTCATTTGTTTTGTTCCAACATGAACGCCGGAAAACCATCAAGTTGTGCGGACTACCTGCGGACTAAGTTCAGTGCGTCTTCAAGCTCGAACGGCCGCCAGATCATTCAAACTGTCGTCTGCTCTTTCAAGCGCTTCTGCTTGTCGTCTGCTCTTTTAGACGACACCGGCCTGTAGACCAAATGTTGGCACGGTACTTGCGAAAAGAAGTAAGTGCAGGTCTCAAAAGACTTAAGTTTGAGGGTTGGTAAGCAGGCTCGATGTAAACAGTAGAAACAAGGAGATGTCGATAATTGGTACTGGTGGCCATCACCGACTTGTTATGCCTGATTCACTTGGTCCAACTCTGCTTGCGATTTTCAGTATCGACGTCGACCATCTCAGCTACGGTTCGTGCTTTTGTAGCCCGAGCACCGTCGCGACTGAAAATTGCGAGCGAAATCTCATCATGCGAATCAGGCTTTAGCGTACATTCTGCGGCGTTCATGCGGAATGAATCACTGCATGTCATATCATTCACGCGAAGTTTTGCGGTGTAACGAGGCTCGGTAATTTCGCTGAGGCCGCTCAACTAGTCAGACACTGACCAGGAAGACCTAGAATCAACAATTCAAACGCGAAAAAGGGCAGGGGGACTCACACCGACGCCGACAACATTGCATTTCAATGGTTTGTTTATGGGCGACGGCGAGCTTCTTGCTTACGCTCCATCGCGCATGCGTGGCAACAGTGGCGTCCGCTACGGGCGCTCTGGTTTGTTTGTAAAGATAAGTTGGTGTATTGGGATGCTTTGAGCTCATAGATGAAGTCATGAAAATGAACAAACTATCACTGAAAGTAGTTTAGTGCCCTTTTTAAACTCTTGTAATCCTAAAAAAAATAAAAAAAATGTGCCATTGATTTTTTAAAAAAATGATTAGAACAGCAAGAAGCATGGTGGATTTGTGTGTACATGCGTTGCACGTGCTTCCACTGTGCATAAGATGAAGAAAATGCCTACAATAAGGCAATGATTATGTCAGGTGCCCAGTGCCATTAGTTTAGATTTAAGCTCTTAAAGATTAGTGCTATGGACATCAGCCCCCGTAACTACACACCGGGAATGTTTTTGGTGTTCCAATTATTTAGTAAAAGATCTATTATTGTCTTAAAACTCAGGCTTTTTTCTTTTTTGGCATGAATAAACAAGTTTATTGCTATCCACACCAAAATTAACGGGGTTGCCTCAAGTACCTAGGACAATGAATGTTTTCTTTTGCCTCACCTGTCCCACTAGACAGCTCATAGGAGAAGTCCTCCTTGACAGCCTCATAGACAGCATCTTCAGACAGTTCTGGTCGCTGCCTCGACAGTTCCTGGTACCTCTCCACAAACCTAAGTCGGATGACATGAAATAACGTGCCTCCATCAGTTTGTGGAGACAATAACCGAGTAACCAACTGGCAAGTTGGAAAAAAAATAGATTGATCACTGGTTTTATTGTGATCTCGCGGGAGAAGCGCACAGCCCGAGCTCTGCGAACCCATGCTCGCTGCTGCTTCTTTTGTCCTGCTCTATTTATCCCCGAAGGCATGCTCCAAGTTCAAAACATTACAAACCGAAAGGTGCAGTGGGAATGCAATGCAGGATATGCACAGCAGATATGACAAGCTGAGCAAACACCAGCTCATAAAAAACATTGCAGTCTAGCCTCACGTAAGTGCCATCTGCTATGAGTTTCATAATGGCCGTTTCTGTTTTGTGTGAGAAAGTATTGTAGAACAGGGGTCTCAAACATGTGGCCCGCAATGCTTTGGGAAGCGGCTTGCAAGCATCCTGCGGCTGCCAGCTCCCGTTCATATGCCTCGAGTGTCGCATACGCCATGAATAATAGTTTTATATTGTCAATTTAATTTCGCTCAAAAAGGAACTCTGCTTCTGTAACGTGTTCACGCGTTTTGCACTATTCTGCTTATTTTTTGGACAGAGTATTGCTTCATCAAATTATTGGCTTCTCATTATTTTCCTGTCTAAATTAACCGGAGTAGCAATACCACCACTAGGCTACAAGTGCAAACTCTTTGCCCAAGGAGGCACCCCAGCTGCACAAACTCTTGATCAGAAGAAACTGTCAAAAATAAAGCTATAAGCTCGGGCTTCTAACTGCCAAACAAAAGCATTAAAAAAAAGAAATTCTCATGGTGCTGCTATAAAAAGCGTTAGGAAAATAGAGACTGCCGTTTGAAGAGAACTTTTTATATTCCTGTTGAGTATAGTGCACAGTTTGACAAGGCAACAACGGTGTGCTTGCTCTCGTTCTATTAAAAACTGTCAGTGCTGTGGTGTGCCAGTGTTTTAAACATTCTTATAACATCGGGTGGGGGCTCAAACTAGTCGTACATGCAAATGAAAGCTCCATTCTATGACTAGAAAATCTTTGGGGTCGTACTGGGACAGTCAGCTGCTTTGCAACGTGAAACACCACTGCTGTTTGTTTCTTTATATCTTTGAAAGAAAATAGTGCCCCCCCCCCCCCTTGGCCTTTGTCCTTTGGGGGTGGGTAATCTAGCCCCACAATCAAATGAGTTTGAGACCACTACTATACAAGATGCCCAAAATATTTTGCACCAAACTAAAAAAAAAATGGAGCACTTTGCGTGAGTGAATTTAACTGTATACTGTCAGCAAGTGTCTTATAAAAGTGCACGTTTTTTGTTTAGTGTGCCTGGTTATTTATTTAAAGAAGACTAGCTAACTTTTTAAATATTCATTTAAGGGCCAAGATGTGAATCTGTTTGCTACCTGATGAGCTTTGCACACTTATTTTGTTAGCTTAAAAAGAAAGCCCGTAAATTATAAAAAGACCACGTGACAATGTGCCCACGCGTAGCACTTGCAGTGCTGATAGACATGCTCTGAAGGAACGAAATCCAGCTTGTCACTCGTATGCTGTCCAAGATGGGGCTTTGCATTGGTGTAGGCCCCAAAGGTAGGCCCAAGCACCTGCTGCCATAAAGCCCTCGAGGCAAATAGAGTGCGCTTTGTCTAGTTCGCAGTCCAGAGAGCTTGCTGTTTACTCAACATAAGGCCTGAGGACTGATGTCTTTCATTGACTTCCTCGATCCAGCGCAGGGCACAGATTGGACACGAGTGCCGTGTCAGTATTCGGCTGGGACCAGTGTTCAAGTGGTGCTCCACTAATAGAACACGAGCGCCAGTCGAACGTTGAAGCAGCGTTTAGCTACGTCGGCCGCAGGCACAAAGCCAGGATTTTGTTTCGGGAGGGCCCGCCCATGACAAAACGCTGTATGAGGGGGAGGGGGAGAGGAGGCCCCAGCAAAATGGAAGATTTCGGGGGGGGGGGGGGGGCTTCATGGGCCTTCCCCCTGGGTACGTGCCTGGTGGGCTGACTGGAGCATCAGAAAGGCAAACAAATAATTCATGATGTTGTTGTTTCTATAGTAGTTTTCAATTTAACCGCTAGGGGTGCAATTGTTCGATCTCCACTCCAATAGATACAATGCTCGTGTAACTGCGAGGCCACTGGTCCTCCTGAAGGGAGCGACGAGGGGTAGCCAGCCACCCGGGCACCTCATTCTGATGACGCAGAACATACCTCTGGCATAGGGATGTCTGGGCCGGGTTGAGCAGGTTATCCGCAACTGGACCCTGACCGAAGTCCCGTCCAAACCTCCTGCGAAGGCAGTCAAGGGGCCCGGTCACGCGACCCACTCCCGACGAAAGCAGAGGCCGCTAAGGTGATGGTAGAGTCACTAAAAAGGCTACGCTTCGGTCATCTTGGCGCTTCAATTCATGATCACCTGAATTCATGATCGTTAGGATGGTTATGAATTCACAATCATCTTAAATTTATTGAAGCTCCATCTGAAATCACAAAAAACACATTACCGCCCCCAGAAAAGTTAAAACAGTCAGCGACAGAGCAAAACTATATCGCTTGAGCTCCCCAACACCATTTCTAGAGGGGTATTCGCACGGAAAAGAAATCCCTCCCTTTGCTTTCTGGGATGCGCATCACATGGTAACAACATCATGCTTTTGCACGGAGCTGCGCTGATGTAGAGCTCCCAGGGGGACGGGGAAGCTTTTGCTCAGGCTGCACAAACACTCTCCGCCTTGGCTTGGGATCTTTTTGCATTTGGTGGTATTTTGTTCGCGTGTCTGGCAACTTCACAGATTTTGTTCAGCGATATTGGCAGTCGCATCGGGATTGCCTAACTTGTTGTGGCTTCCACTGCTGTGCGAGGCACCCGAAGGAGTCTTAGATATTCATCAATGTCGTCTTCAAGCCGCTCCTCATACAACTGGTTTTGGTTCAACATTCTTTGTGTTGCATCCATCCATTCAAGAAGCACCTTCCTTTTAGCATGGAGCAGTTTGCCGTCTTCTGCATCTAACAGCGCTGCTGCCATAATCTAGTATTGCCGTTTCATGTACGTCTCCATTTTTCTACTCTCGTCAGCACACACTGAACCCTGTCGTCTAGAGTGCGACCGCTAAATGCATCTGATAATACTGATATCTCTCTCAACTCCCCGTTGTTCATGCGAATGCTTGACTTGAGGAGGAAGTCATGCTGGTTCCGCTGATCACCGACATCTGACGACGCAGAACACACATCCCTCACCGAAAAGCAACCCCCATGTGAATACACCTTAAAGCTCAGAAAGTTGCATTTTCGAATTGTGTTAATCGCCAATAAACCATTTACAAACATGTGCGCCACCTAGTAGCTACTGCACTAATCATTCGAGTCCACCATAGTTTGGGCACATATTTCGAGCATTTATTGGACATAAGGACTCCGTTAGCGTTCGGCGTGAACTCGGATCGTATTGCACACTTGATGCCAAAATATCAGCGACTGCCAATGCTGCTTGATGGGGCTTTGAAAAGCCTGCTCTGCACTAGGCACCAAAATGGCGGCAACCAAAAGAGAGTCGGGAAATGGAATGGTGGTACTCTAGGCGTAGCTTATTCGGTGTCTCTAAGCAAGGGCACTTACGCCCTGATGGTGTCCTCTGGGTAGCAGATGTTCCTGACCGGGGCTGCGGGTGCCTTCCTGTAGTAGTCGGGTTCCTGGATCGGCGGGAAGGCGGCGTACACGTCGTACCACAGAGGGCGCTCCGTCATGCCGCCGGCCTTGAGCAGGCCTTCAGCCCTGCGGCCAAGGTGCACCCATCATTGCCGCGGTGATTAACTCCAACAGAACTCGGCATAATGGTTTTGCATAAGCAACACAACTACTTATTGTATCTCACACGAACAAAAAAAAGTTTAGCACCTGTACCGGCAAAGCTTGTACAGGTCTAAAAATTTTGTGGTGGTACTCTGGCATACCCGACAAGATCGTCATATGTAGAATAGGCTTTTGAGACAGTAAATCTCAGTGTAATTGTTTGTATAATGAGACTCGCACTGCAACTTCCAACAAGGATGCTATTGGTTGCTGCTATGTTCACGTGATCGCTTATGCCAGCCAATGTGAGTGAAGTGCCGCCTGTGAGAGAGCTCTGTTGTGGTGGCGACACCAAAAATGGTCCACTCAGTTGTAACAGGCGTTACATACCTACGTCTAGTCACGTGACTAGACGAGAAACAGGGTCATGGGATGTGCGACATTGTTTCCATACCGCTTTCGCGTCTTTAGAGTTGAATGAGCTACCCTTGCCAAATATTATTTTATCTAGACCAGTGGATCTCAAATGAGGGTCCATGGACCCTTTAGGGCCTGCGAAGGAAATCTAGGGATCCGCAAAGCTCTGCCTGATCGGTCAAGGGCGTCAATAAAAACTGTCTTTCATCAGATTCTGAACGAAAGTTCAAATATTTTAGCGCTTTTCTCGTGCGCATGTCAATGAGAGAAGTCTACTTCACACTAGCTTTTAGTTATGCACATTCATTAAATCATTATCGTAATTACCCTATACCATTCCCTTCACCTCACCACGAAAGGGGTCCTCCATCATCTCCGCCGATCCAAAAGGGGTCCGCGAAACATCAATGGTTGAGAACCACTGATCTAGACTATACAAGTTCAAAAGTTAAAATTTTACACGGTGCAGACTATACAAGGATTTGTTTTTTCTAGATTGTGCAATATGATGAGACAAGAAGGGATTTTGCGAATGACAAAGTACTGATACGGAGGAGAGGAAGAGCGCCACGGCTTGAGGTTGCGGTGCACCCTGGCTTGTGCCCTGGCTGGCAGTAAGATTAAAACCCAACTTTGAAAACCAACCCGTTGTCTTCTCTCCTTGGTGCAAATCTAATTGCTTTCACATCAACGTTAGATTTTGCAGCAGAACAATGAAAAGACATACCTATGTCAAATCCTTTAATGTCTCTAAAAACATTACAAGACAAAAAGAAAGGCGCCTCGCCACTACCTACACAGTACAAAACGGGATATTATATTGTCGTAACTGTGACTCCCACGGTCCGGCCTTTGTTTGCCATTTCTAAACACCTCCACACTGATATATTCTGTTCCTTGCACAATGATCCCACAGCTGGACACATGGGATTCTTCAAAACACACATGCGTGTCCGGAACAATTTTTACTGGCAGGGTATGTACTGCGGTATTTTCAAATATGTCTCATGAAGTCTTCAGTATCAACGCCGAAAATGACCCACAACCGCCGGACTCTTGCATCCCCTTGAACCTCCTCATTACCCAATTGAACGTGTGAGAACTGATCTTCCTGGTCCCCTTCCTGTCACCCACTCAGGCAACCGCTGGATCATTGTCATGATAGACCACTTATCCCTCCATGTCGAGACTTCACCTCTGTCTACCGCCAACGCAGACAAGATCGCCGCCTTTTTTTTAAAGCAGGTATTTTTATGCCACGGACCTTCCCGAAATATAATAAGCGACAGAGGCACAGTTTTCCTCTCCCGAGGGGTTCAACACCTCCGACAACTTTGTGGTACTGAACTTAGCCCCCGACCATAGCTTACTATCCCCAGTCCAACGGCACAATAGAAATCTTTAATCGAACCATAGTAGACATGATATCAATGTAAGTTCAGACGGATCATTGGCACCGGGACACTGTCCTTCCCTTTGTCACTTACACATACAACACTTCTATCCAAGATGCATACGGCTACGCTCCATTTTTTATTCTTTACAATTGATCCCTAACAATACTTCTCTAAACCTGACTTCCTTAAAACCATCACGGTGATCACCTGGAGGATATCGTCGCACACCTCGTCTGCCGTGCTGAAGAGGCGTGACAACTCGCCCGCTTACGCACAAGGGCCTCACAACAGAGCCAATGCCAAATATAACAATGAGGCCCATCGAACTGTGTCCTACTTTGTTGGTGATCTCGTGTGGTCATGGATGCTGCGACAGCAGCAAGGAAAGGCCACCAAGTTTCTCCAATGTTACGCAGGCCCATATCGCATCACCGCCAAGTTATTGGACCTCACCTATCAAGTGCAGCTCCTACACTCGCCAGCTCATCGACACTCAACTTCAACCGACACCGTCCATGTAACCCACATCAAACTAACTCTACCAATGCCCATCCACTCTATCTCACAAAATTTCGTGACTTTCTAAACTCCCCATCCACTCATGCGGTTGGGACGACCGCAAAACCACTAGGGGGGGAAAGTGATACAGAGAAGAGGAAGAGCGCGATGGCCTGCAGCCGCAGTGCGTTCTGGCTCGCGCTCCGGCAGGCGGCAAGATTAAAACCCAATGTTGAAAACCACCCTGTTGGCTTCTCTCCTTGGTGCAAGACTCAATATCAACGTAACAGTATTATATAGGCCTCCTGCATTGCCCAGGAAGTGCAGCCAAAAGTGAGATGAATGGGTAGTACCAACTTGCGCGTCTCAAACTGTCGCACGCGTAGAAGCGTGCCTGCTCTGGTGTGGAATGCGATCAGGAGGAAAATACAAACAGCACGAATGAGAATGCACAGGTGAAAGCTAAGATGCTAAGAGCATGGAGATAAGAGATGCCACTTCATGCGTTCCAAAGCAAATAATAAAATAAAATAAAGAAGTGTCAAGACGCCAGGCGTACCCTAGAGGGGGTGGCATGAATCCCACACTCTTTATTGTTTTACAGTGTGGATCCTAGCAGATTTCGAACGTCGAAAACTTTTCCCATCCTTCAGCACTACAAAAAAGGAAAAAGCTAAGCGACGGCGGCACAAGTAGTGCAAGGCCCAATTAAGTGAGCTTGTTATAACCAGAAGTCGCCACAGTTTGTTGAAAGCATTAGCGCAGAAGGCCTATTAATGATGATTCATGAATGATAGATACAAGCTTCTTTATTAACTAATAAAGAAGAAATCTGTCAGGATGTGTTGTATATAAAAATGTCTACATGAAGGCTATGCAGAGTGCGGACCTATAGTCCGGAAAAAAGGTATTTTACGGAAAAACAATATTTTGTTGTAAGATACGGGTTTTTGTTGTCACCGAGTCATTTGATCTGTGGCTGCACTAAACTCTGTAATCGAAAAAAAAAAAAAAACACGTTAGCGGTTTTGTTTTTGTTCGACGAAAGTGCAAGCAAGCCTGTGTTATAGCGGGAATGCTTAAACGGGTCTTCGGTCGTAACCCCAAGCACCCGAGATGCTCGAACGCAGGGCAGCAGCGAGTACGTGCAGGTATGGTCCCGAGTTCAAAGCTACATTCGTAAAGCAAGAGCACGCACTAGAAGTAAAAACTAGCAACTGAAGTCTTTTGCTGCCCTTCACTTTAATGTGAGCGCTCTTCTAGACTCGCATCTAAGTGCACGTTACCTGGTGAAGATGGTCCCAAGTTTGTGGATACGACTCCCCGCCATGCTCGTCCAACTTGAGTGGCTTAAGGTGGCTCAATGCTATGGATTGTACTGGCTAATAATGTTTAAAACCCCGCAATTGATAATTTATTTTATTTAAAACTGAAATTTTCTAATAAAAAAATAGGTTTTATAATAAAATATATATTTTTTACACTTTTAAATATTTACGGGTGATCTGAGAAAAACAAGGCGGTGATTGCGACAGTAATTTTAACCAATCCAATCCAATCCCTCGGAAATAAAGCAAGATGGCGCTCTCCTTACGCGGTGCGTGGAGTGCCCGCTCGATTATTAAAAATCGCGCTGCCGTCACAATCCGGTGCTCAACGAGCGATGCAGCGAGCGGAAACGACAGAGTTTCGCCCGAGTACGTGAACAGAAATCCGCGGAACCTGGAACAGATGCTGTTGGCCAGGAAGCCGCTGGGCTATGGCTTGGACGTGCCGTCCCGAACCTTCTGGCACAAGTAGGTGCTTCGCGTCCGCTGTTGTTTCGCCGTGACATTCAACTGTTGCGTGGCTTCGGTTGTGCGCAGGGTGCGACTGGAGCGCAGCCATCAGCACATCACGGGGTCTGTGGTCTACAACACGGGCAAAGTGGTCATCAGCGCCTCCACGAGGGAGTGGGGCATTCGGAAGCAGCTCTTCAGGTGACCTCTCTCTACTCGGGCACGATTCCCTGTGCAGCGTCCGTGGTGGGCTCCGACAGTCCCGCATCTATTTTCAGGGCCCCCGTACTCGGGGGCAACTTTCTGTGGCATTTCTAAAAAGGAGTGCGCTAGCGCAGCTTTTTTCCAACCAAGCAACTTAAATAAATATATGTATATAAAAAGCTGTGTCAACAGTGCCGTCCGAAAAAGAGTCGGAGGCGCGTGTATCAGTATCCCCCGCCTGCGTTCACGCCGCTTCGCGGCGACAGTATGCGGCTGCTAATTGCAAAACTATTGACCGATTTGGCCCCGTCGTACACATATATGTCTGTGTAGCGGGTACAGTGGGCCTCTATGGCATGGGCAATAGCCTTTTCACTGTCGCCCGGGTTTTAGAAACCGAATAAAGCATTACATTACATTACATACACGCCGCTTCGCGGCATCCAGCCGGCAAACCAAGCCCCGCTGTCCCCCATGCACCTCCGGAAACGAAGTCGCATACCATTTTGTTCAGCGAAGTTTCTTCGGCAACATTTTTTTTTCTCTCTCTCTTTTCAGTGTTAATTGTAAACAAGAAATGTAAATATCGGCAAATGCGTCAACAAAACACAATGTTCGAGAAAAAAAAAAAAAAGTAAGCCCGCACTGGGTATTGAGTCTGGGACCGCTTTCTTATGAGGCAGACATTTTACCACTAAGCTACACTAAAGTTTGAAAATCTCGTTTTGAGAACTCGTTTTATACGAGACTTTCGGACGGCACTTGAACGCTTAAGTGGAGCACCGTCGGACGGCACTTGAACGCTCTGCAGGAGTGCCGTCGGACGGTACTCTAGACACTAGGTATAAAAAAAGCTGTGGCTAGGGTTCCATCCAGACCACGGTGGAAGAAACATTTAGGTCCGGCGCGGCGAACACATTATGTTCGGCGCACCGAGCGCTTCACTCGCACGGGGATAGATAATGCCCAAGTATGGAATCCCTCACAAACCGACCGCTCCAGTTGTTGCTCCCAGCAGTGGTCTCGCATTCCCCCGCTCACCGCTTCTTGTTGTACCTCACAGCCGCCACACCGCCACCAGAGTCACCAAACTCTGTAAATTTGTGTTCTCTTCCTTCTTTGGGTTAAGGCTCACCTTGTGCACGACTGAGCCGATAGTCACTGCAAAATTACCCGCAGTTTCGGACGGCGCGTGTATCACTGGGGAGCGTGTTCAGCCACTGCTTTGCGGCGACAGTCTATGGCTGCTCATTACAAAAATATCAACCCCCTTGCCCCCTCGCCCCCTGTACACCAGCCACCGGCGGCCTGCTGGTGGCTGAAGCCCCGGAAAGGGAGTCCCATTTTAGTTCAGCAATGTTTGATCCACAACATTCTTTTTTCAGTGATAATTCTAAAAAAAAAGAAAGAAGAAAAAAGTAAATATTGCTGAATGCTTGTCAAAGAAAAAAGAAAGCAGTATGCCCACTCTGGTGGATCGAACTTGAGTCCGCTCAGTGTGAAGCGGATATCTTTCGACTGAGCTACACTACAGCTACAGTGCCATCCCTACTGCACCTGGTATCTTTTCAACTGTACGGAACTCTGCTAGGCCTGCTATTGCTCTGTCTGGACCATGGTGGAAGAAATACATATAGGTGATAACTCCGGCCGCTCTTTGTGCGAGGAGCGAGCGGTTAGATCGTGTTCGGAGCTAGCCTTGAACCAGAAGTAGTTAAAGGGGCCCTGCAACAACTTTTTGACTGATTTTTAATTTGCACCGATCCTGAGCGCACTGAACGTAGAAACTTAATGAAACTTTTCTTTTCTCGAATTTCGCTTTAGTTTAAAAGTTATAGGCAAATAAGGATTACAAAAACAAGCAAAAAATAACCTCCATGACGTAGTAGGTCCTGGCTTGAGCGGCCGTGAACTAGAGGAGGGATAGTGAGCTCATCGAGCGCTCACGGCTGCCGCACTCCGTGTTGACGGCTCGAGAGGGCGCCACTAAAGCACGTGTTGGATAGGCTGTATGAAGCGGGCGGTCAGGGCGGCTCGCATTGCATTTGCTGCACGATTAAAGACTAATTCGGCATAACACTTCATTGGCCACAAACGACAGCAAACACGGGGTAAATATCAGTTCAGAACGGGAGCCACTTCGCGCTGCCATACCGCCAAATGGCAAAATCGCCAGCAAAGCCGGCGCCGAAAGCCTTCGGAACGCTCGGAACCGGTCGGATCCTCGACCGCAGCGCCGCCGCGTACATCCGGGTTCTTTCTACGCACGCCGTTCGTCAGCGCCTCATCGCACTAGCCCTTTCTAATATGCGCCGTTTTTTCCGCCGCTTGGTGGTGGGTACGTCGACGAGTCATTTCTTGTTTCCGTACTTTATAAACTGCATTTGTTTCTTTTCTGATCTCATACACCGAACAAAAACTACTTTCATACATAATTGAAACGGTTCGCGACACTTATATTCTGTATGTCGACTAAAAAAAAAGATTTTAGCGGTTCTGACCAGTAGTAAGCCCAGGACCAAAGACGTCAGATATCGCGCGCTTTCGCCTACGCGGGTCGCCCTCGTAGGTGGAGGAGGTTTCCGCGTCGTCCGGTTAAAATATGACGCACTGATATTTAGTTACTCTCTCCGTGCCCGCTGGCTTGCCCGAACCCCAAGAGACCTGGAAACCACAAAAAAGGTAGGTGCCTAAATATGATTGCAGGGCCCCTTTAAATGTGCGCTACCGCAAAGGGTGCTGAGGCACGAGCATTGTGGGTATGAGGTCCCTCCTCGGCGGCCATGGTGTCGGCAACGTAGCGTGCTCGCCTTTTTAGCAGTGTGGTGATGGTGTGCGGCCAGTGGCTGGCCTCGTGTTTTGCTTTGGTGCTGTGTCGATCACAGGTGCCACCATTGTGCACAAAGATGAGCCTTAACTCGAAGGAGGAAGAGAACAGATTTACAGACTCTGGCGACTTGGTGGCGGCATTGAGGTACAACAAGAAGCGGTGAGCAAGGGAATGCGGGACTCTTGCTGGGTGTAACAACCGGAGCGGTCGATTTGGGAGGGACCCGATATTTGGGCGCCATCTATCCACGTGCAAGTGAAGCGCTTGGTGCGCCGAACATAATGTGGCCGCCGCGTCGGACAGAGAGTCATCACCTAAATGTATTTCTTGCACCGTGGTCTGGTATATAATCTTATATTCATCATCACTAGACGAGGCACCGCGATTCTCAATGGTACGGGTACAGTAAAGTAGAATAGGAGTAGTGAAAAAAGCCGGTCTCCAGGTGAGGCACTTCGTGTAGAACTTACCAGGTAGTGCTGGTGTTCGATTCCGGAACACTCCTGCCAGCGAAGTTCGTGCCAAGCGTAGCTGTTTTTGATCTTAGTGCTTCATTAGTGTGGCCTATGTATGCTTTACAGAAGTTTCAACGTCTATGAATTAATGTTCAAGCTTACTTGGGCAATGTAGTGAAAACCAGGGTAACCAGCCTTGCATGCTGGCACATAGTGGTGTGCATCAGTCTTCTTTCTCTTCGTTTTCATTGCTTAGCGACAAGACTCGAACCTATGTAATCACAATGCCAAGCACTTTACATTCACGAAAACAAATTGCGAAAAGGACCCTAGGCATCACAGAAACCATCAGAGAATGTATGCGACGCCATATCCCATGTTACAGTAGCCATGTCCTCCGTATTTCGACAACAGCACCACTCGCAGCAGTCTACACTTCTGGCTTCACACGGCCGATGGGGTGCCGCCGACGTTTTTTCCACTGCCCCTATGTTCTAGTTCACTGTAGTACGGGCTGTCGCGTCTTGCGATGCCACGTATCTCCTGAGCCAATAAAGATTAAATTAAATATTAGATTAAACTATATGCGCATGATTTCATTCCGTCCGGACGGAACTCTAGACACTCACTATATAAAAAGGCATTTTGCAGTTGATTTTACATACTTCTTTTTTTTTAAGGTAAATTGGTGCAATTTAGCCCCTGCTAGTTTTTCTTTTTTTCAGTTCATAGTTTTTATTAGGCTAGGTTCCCAGCAAAATCGTGGCAAATGCCTGCCATCCTTCCATCACAATGCAGAGATACGACGGATAGTACGAGGATGCACGAAGTGATACAATTTGATAGAGTGCAAATAATGGTGCCCTTAGGGACTTGGACACCTCCAGAATAATGTTTTTCATTTGAGCAAAGCACTAGAACTTGGTTTCAAAACGGGTCCACATCGCATGAGCGGATGACATTTTAGTGAGTGAACCATGCCATTTGAGCAAATCAACATTTGAACAAATAACAAACGTGCGTGTTAACTCCCTTCCCCCCCCTCGCACTGTGCTCGCGGTGTGTGCGGCGGTGGCAGTCTGCGGCGGCTCATTACAAAAATGTTAACCCACTTGGTTGACCCGTAAACGACACTTCGCAGCGGCCGACTATTCGCTAAAGTGTCTTTCGATGAAAAGTCGGCGTTTACTAAAACGTTGTTCGACCAACTGGGTGCCATCTGTTTCAAACACAGTCCAGTGACTTTTTTGCCACCGAGTCGTTTGTGCCTTGCGCCTGACATCATCCCACCAGCTCTCTGGCCACCACCAGAAAAGAGGGGAAGGTGGAACTTTCCTCTCACCGGGACTCTTTTTTTGGTGTCCCGTGCCTGCCCAGATGTCGCTAATCCTCCTTCTAGAAGATTAACCCATCACTCAAAATTTGTTCAAAAGCAGCTTTCCCCTCTCTCTTACGTGGTGGTGCAAAATGGACGATGTGTTGTCAGCACAAGGCATGTATAGCTTTGCGAGATTTCAAATGAAATCAATTAAACGAGCATGGAGTGGCGTGCTATGGGAGGCTCTGGAAGTTGCACAGGTTGTTTTACTTAGTCAAACAGCCGGTTTTCTATCAATGTGTTCGGGTGGTCATATAGCAAAGCAAGACTTTCATTTAACTTATTGTATTACTTTCATTAATAAAGGTGCATTGAAAACAGTTTCTTTTCAAACATTCTACGGTCTGTTGCAGGCTAAGGATAGCAGGACAAGCTCCTCCCTGCAAAGCCTTTCACTTTAGCAGGGCGAACACTGGGGAGGATAAAACCACCAATCATGGAAAGCCAAAGGCTTTGTGGGATGAGCCTCTTCTGCTCTTCTTTACCTGAAAGATAGTATAGTTTCAGGTCGCAATCGCATGCAACAGAAAAAAAAAAGAAAAAAAAAAGGTGGCAGCTTCAAGCAGCAGGTTTTTGGCCAGCGGTTTTCGTACTGAAAGAAGCCAGGTTTCGAGCCACAGATGTTTTTTCTGGACAGCCAGGTCACTGTAGGTCATGTTTCTGCAATGTTCTTAGGCAAGCGTAAATACCTTGTCGGCCACCTATTAAAAGACGCTAAATAAAGGGGAAAGAAATTTTAGGATGACAGAATATCCGATGGTGCATAGAAGTGTGACGGCAACTCTTTGTGGGCTTACAGCTTGACTGACCAGAGTGCAGCGGTCAACGTAGCTAGAGTTCTGGCACGACGCTGCCTCGAGAGTGGGATCCTTTACGTCCACGCAGATCCAGACACTTCCCCCAAGGTAGGCCTCTACAGAGCCCGCATACTAAATCGGGAGGAGGCATCCTCCCGTGCGTTCCAGACACCCGAAATGGCAAGACATGGAAGCTGCCATTGGTAGTCCCACATTGCTGGCAGCACATTTATCGCCGTAAAAAGGAACCACCTGATGTTTTGCGTCCCAAATACCATTCCGCCTGTTTCAAGGACATGTGAAGGTTTTTTCTAGTGCCATTGAGTGGTCTTCTTTGGCCTCTATCCCCCTCCTTTGCCCGCTTCCAAACAGATCATAAAGGTAGCAATATCTGGCGGACAGAACTCGCTAACGACAGCTCCCTAAGAGTCTTAGAATGGCAGCTATGGCAAAATGTCCGCTGCCATTCCGAGCTCTCCAGCAGATATCTTTTTTTATAACCAAAGCTTCGACAAATGTGACACGTGTGTTTTCTCAGCATAGAGAAGTGCTACGAAGACTGCATCCCCAGCTTGTTGAGGATCGATGATGTTGCCCAGTGGTCGAGTGCTAGTTCTGTTGCTGTTGCAGACGCAAGCCTTCCTGGGTGCCCTCGAAGAGGAGGGACTCATTCTTCATGAGCCGGAGCCACAGCTGCCCAGAAAAATGTCCGATCCTTAGCCCAAATAAAAATGTTGCACTAGTGTCACGGTCCCATGTGTGAACGTGCGCCGCAGGCCGCTGCGGCTTCTTGCCCCCCCTGCAACTCCGACGGCTTGGGTTTCTCTTGCTCTCTTGCCCCATACGCCTGCGTCGCAACCCTCGTCCAAAACTGCCAGGAGGCCAGCTGCATGTTTACATTCCAAACCAATTGCAACCCATTGTGGTTGTGCTCCAGCGAAATGGCGTGAAGTGCGCATTGGAAAAAGTTGTCTTTTCTCATCTCACATTTGTATCTTGATTTTCACTGTACTAAATCTTGCTACTGACTGCAAGGACCAAGAAAAACATAGGCCAAAGGTAGTCCTTTCTCGAAAATGCTTTTTGGTTATTTTAATTTAACGATGTTATGTCTCTGATGCCCTAGCTCTGGAAAAAAAAGTTTTTCACCGTTAAATTGACATTTGTGTTTTATGCCTTCTGTAATAGCTTCTTTGATGGAATCTTGAAGGCTCAATGAAATGAATAAATATTTGAAAGGCAAATCTAAACGAAGTTAAGGCCCTCTCATGGGCACAAAGCATGTGGAGGCACTGCTTCCTGTGAAAGAACAGAATTGCCAGCATATGCCAAAGAAGCTACACCCATTTGTAGAGGAAGACTTTTATTATAAAGCTTGTAAAGGTATTATACACATTCAATTGGGCTAGGCATCGTGTTAAAAAGACTCGTAGATGTCGGAGGTAAAGATCCCCCGAGAGCACCTTGTTTTAGTTTCTTACAAGTAGAGGCCATTGAGACTAGAGAGGCAACCGAGGCGCAGAGCCTGGTAATGTGGCGCGTCTTGGTTGAGACTTGCAATGCCCCGGAATGTAAAAAAGAAGGAAAGGGGGTACTACCAGTTGAGAGTACCACCCATGCTTCAAGTAGATATGGCAGGAAGGTTAACCGTTTGCTGTTGATCACGGATACCCGAGGACAAATGAGCTAACAAAAACGACAAAAAGATGCAGAGGCTTCAATCTTAGTGGCCATTCTGTATTTTAGAGGTTAGATCTTCAGCATTGTGGGGGACTGCATAGGTGTTGACGGCTTTGTGCTTTCGAGACCAAATAAATAAAAGGGCTATATCACTCTGCCTTCCTAGTGCAAGGGTAGGCAGTTGCATTTGAAAATTTTAGTGTAAAAACTAGGAACGACAAAAGCACCGTTCGGTTTTAACTGGGTTCGAGGTCGCCCTTATCGATGTCTTGACAAACGACTACAAGAAGTTGAGGTAGGACGGACGCTCTCCTAAGCTCGCCATGTTGAAGCTTCGTCGCAGTACATGCAGTTTGAATAAAGCCTAGAAGAAAAAAAGGACCGCACGTCGCTGGCCTCACCAACAAGCTATGCATGACCACTGAACGAGAATGATAAGTGTAGAGGTACAACTATACTCTGGCAGTGTAAAAATTTAAGGTCTCGTTCGTTGGGGACATTGTTGGATCGAACCTAGAGTGCACACTAGGTTGTGATTAAGATGCTGCCCCGGGTGGAAACTTGAGCAAGGATGGATGCGACAGTGCCACGTCGACAATTGTATGCATATCAAAACAGATTCTCCGCCGAATTGCCACACATAAATGGGAATGCCCGAATACGAGGTCTGAAAATTCTAGTCTTAAATGGCAGCTAGACATCAATCTACACAAGCACACAGTTATTCTAGCTAAACTAGTAAAAGCAAGCGAGGGACCACGTATAAAAGCTCGGTTGAGTGTGCCACACAAGGCTTCGTTTCGAGCCAAATCTTGAGAACAAAGGGAAGTAAGTGGCACGTTCGTAAAAATGTGGGCCGACCCAAGGACGCAGGTGCTGCGCCACTCGTAGGAAGCGTGGAATGGATATGCGCACTTTAGATGCATCCGTCCCGTAGAAATGTGTTCTTCCACATCCTTGCGACGTTCGGAATGTTTGCATCTTGCTGAAGTAGCTTTTGCGCCATCAAAAACGAACGCCACATCACCGTGGAGTGAGAAATACCGAGTTTCTCGTCGTGCCGACACCGACGTCGAAGCGGGGGTGTTCTCAGGTGGCCTTGGCGGGCCGCTGCTGCTGCTGCTCGAGGTAGCAGTGCGAAGCCATGAGGAGGCGGTAGCGCTGCCGCAGGTTGCGCGAGCGTACGTGCGCATTGATCACCTCAACTGTGTGGGACGAAGGGAACCAGCCCCGCATGCCGTCACGGATGCGCTCGCCCTCGTACCAACCTGCAGGGAAAGCGAAGAGAGTCGACGCTTTGCGAGTTGTTTGGATGCGGCCGCAGAAAAGAATGAAAATTCTAGCAAGGTTATTGGTGGAATACACTGGCCATTCCACGTTTTGAAGGGCCCCAACCACGAGTTTCAAATCCCGACGGTGATAGCTGTTTCGCTGAAGCTCTATGGGGCACTCTTCGGCAGTGGTTGCCATAATGTGTCTGGACCCTTTCGTTTTTGAAATCTAGTCGAAACATTGATGCCATAACATGTTCACATAGGAAACCTATCAAAAAAGGTGTATTGCCTGTGTTGCTTCTGACTGGCCCCATGGAATGGAAATGTGAAGAATAAATGTGACAATAAAGGTAAAAAAGATCTTCTGAGTATTGTTTTCTGTTGCGGTCCCATTGAAATTTCTGTTGGATGTTAGATTGTTGGGTAAAGGCCGTTTTGTACGGAGCAACCCTTCAGAAAGACACACACACAGCGCCACACAAACGCTGCCAGCGTCATTGATGGGGACGACAATGATGTTGTGCAGCACTGCTCCAATGTTTCTTGCAAAAACAAAAGTCACTTCGTGTGAAACAATCGCACAATTAGTAAGGTTTCCAAAAAGGCTCGAGGTACACCTAAGCACTTCTTATGAGTTGTGAACGCGAAAGCATGCACATCATTCTTCCGCTTCCTTATTTCGCCTCCAGTGTATTTGTGTCGATGGCCAGAGAGTGCCCTCTCCTCGCCGCTCTGGCCTTGTACGTTTCGTAGTAGCGGTGCGCTGACGGACATGCAGCGACCAATGGGAGCCTCGTCGACGCACGCCAGCCAATGGGACCGACGCTGAAATCCATCAGGTTTACTCCGCTTCTTTAGGATTGGGGAAATTAGCTGCCGTTTGGCTAGGCTTTTCGCGTGGTTTCATAGCTGAGAACTGGCTTCACTTGGAGAAAGGATCTAAGGTGCCGTTTGGCGCGGTCTCAAAGCTGATGACGTCGGCTCGCTCCATGGGACCAATTAATGCTTTCGCATTAAAAATAAAGTGGCTAGCAACCTCGCTTCCATGCATGGTCAACAAGCCCCCAGAGGGCTTGCTGTGAAAGATGCTGCCGCACAAGAGGGCAGCTCCAGTCAAGAGACTCGACCACAGGGCTTCTGCCCCCAGACATCAGAGAAGTGCACTCACCGTCGGACATCTTGCGGAAGACGTTGACCACGTCGGACTCCTGGAGGGCCAGCTCGTCGGGCTGCTCGGGAATGTAGGCGTGCCGGCACTGCACCTGGGGACAGTCTGGGAACAAAGGAACCACCAGCTCAAGTGCACTTCGTGACCGATCTGCAGTTGACCTTGATCAAGCACAAACTATGAAACACGTCAATTAGCATACTTAATACCCGATTTTGTACACAAACATCCGGCTGTTTTAGAAATTATGCAGGACCATAGTTCAAGGCACAGCTCTAAAAAACATTAAAGATACCTTCTATCACACCCCATAGAATAAATATTTTAACATATGTCAGTTTCTTGGTCCTCTTGACTGCAAGGATATAAACCCCCCCCGCGGCCGCGGGACTTTTACGAATTTGAAAGTGCACAGGTTGGCAGGTATGATTAATGCATGGCATGTACACTTGATGGCAATTCCTGGAATGGAGATACCGGCAGTAACACGGGTTTAAAAAATGTATGACATGGTGTCAAGTGGCTATCTGGTAGACGCAGAGCGGAAGTCCCGCAGGGGTTTCCCACCAAATAGCACCTCAACTCGAGGCAACGTGGTGCGACATGCCGGAAAGACACTCGCTTAATAATCTAAATGGTCTGGGTTCACTTCCTGCCTGGCCCAAACACATTTTTAGTGCAATGGCCTCTCCCCTCCCTTTTCCCCCTCCCCCCATCCCCCCCACTTAAAACTAGGGATGTGCGAATGTTTGAATATACAAATTCAAATCGAATAAAAAGTTCCCGAATAATTTGATTCGCAAATCAAAATCCTAGTGCTCGGTCACTCGAATATTCAAAATATTCGGCCAAAGACGCGCGGTCGGCGCGGAGCTGACTAAGAAGCCGTTTTTTCTCCCAATGTTAGCGCAGAGATGTTCGACAGACTATGCGAGGAACTCCTTATAGTCCTACGATTTCACAAAAATCTAATGCACAGATTAGAAAAAAGAAAAGTAACGAACGCCACAGATTTTACGGCATGCAGATTTACTCATGATTCTGACGCAATCTAACCTTATATCACAACCAAAACATCCCGTTTGCACCGCTTCCAGAGAGGAATTGTCGGGAGGCCGGAATTCCATGCCATACCCAATTCATTTCATGAGTAAAGACCCTCTTTTCAAATTGAAGCACCGATGTAAAACACTCTGAAACAGGATAGATCAGGGGTCTCAAACACGTGGCCCGTGACTCGCTGGGACGCGGCCCGCAGGCAACGAGCTACAACTACAAGTCCCGGTTCACATGTCTCGAACGCTAGAAATGGCATGCGCGGCAGGATCTCATATCGCCAATTCATTTTCTCTTGAAAAGTCTTTCTTTTTTCTTTTAACCATTTTCTTTTTTGTTCCTGTTGCTGAATTCACAGGGTTTATACTTATACCGCTACTAGGCTGCAAGCGCGCGCTTTTCGTCGAAGCATGCATCTCGGCTGCATGAACTCTCAATCAGGTGGAGCAACTGTCAAAGATAAAGCTACGAGCTCGGGATTTTCGCCTTAAGTAAACATATCACCACTAAAAGACAAGTATTTCATCAGAGTGTTGTAATAAAAATCGTCAGGAAAGCAAGAACTGTCAAATTAACTGATTATTTATTAGAGACATGTTGAGCTTGGTTAATTCCTGAGTGAATTGAGCAACAGGAACGAGAGAGTACTTGCTCGCTTCTTTTATTAAAAATGGCAGCACGTTGGTGGGATGGTGTCATCTCAATTATTGTTATCACATCAGGTCAGGGCCCAATGTAGTTGTTTAAACAAATCAAATCTAAAGGTTTTACTGTAAAAAACTGAGTTTACGAAAAGCATAAAGCACGGGTTTCTCTGAAATCTTTTGAACCCCCCGCCCCCTCCCTACAGTGGCCCTCGCCCTCTCCGGCGTGGACGATCTGGCCCCCACACTCAAACGAGTTTGAGACCACAGGGGTAGATGAACGGAGCAATGGATACACAATGGCAGTTGGACGGTGACTTGCGCCACCTAACCACATGTTTTTTTTCTTACAGAAGATTATATTGTTTAAGCCTGTTTACTCAGACTTAATAGCTATCTGTTTATATAAAATAAAATCCTGGGTGCCCTTTTTCTCCGTTAAAATTGAGACCAAATATCTCAAAATGCCCCTTTTCTGAGATATATAAATATAAAAAAAGGACAGGTCGCGGTGCTAGGTTGTGCTTTTAGCGAGAAAAAAAGGCATGCGTGGCTGTAATTTGGTTTTTTTTGTGACGCTTAGGGTAGATAGGTTATGTTTCTGCCATAAAATTGGATATTTAGTGCCCAATGTCCATCAACAGCTACTTTTTTTTTATCAGAACTTTTGTATTTGAGCTTTTGTTTTGTACGAGATGCATATTCTGCACCAGTGCACACTCTGCACATACAATCATATCATTCACAGCAGACTTTGAAAAATCGCTACAAATAAAATCACTATTCGATTCGATATCTACTATTCAATATTTGCACTCCCCTACTTAAAACTAACCAGTTTCAAGCATCGCGGTCAAGCTTCTATCCAGGCTTTACTTTTTGGCTTCACGAAATGCTGAACGCCTAGCCAAAGAATGTTTCACGTTAAAATTACACGAGCAAGTTGCACACTCTATACCCACTCTACAGTCACACAAATACTCCATGTCCACTCTACAGTCACACAATAACTCCATGTTACCCGTGGAGTGCACACGCTGGGCGACACTCGAAAGACTCGAATATCAAGTGCTCATTGGTGTGCCTCGCACCATCTGTGCAGATGGGTGATTCATGCCGCGGCGTGCACACTGCAGGCTCCACCCGACACTGGAGGGTCTGACCATGCTGCCACGGTTTCTGCCAACAAAAGACGGGAATATTCTGCCGGCGGTGCTTACCCCATTCCTCATAGATGCGCTGCTCGGGATCACTCGACACGACGGGGGTGAGCACATCCATCCAGCGCGTCTTGTCGCTCCTGCAGGGAGCCAATGCCCGTGAACGCGTGCACTCCACTACAGGTGTACCCAAACTACCTGGGACCCCATTTCCCAAATCTTTCCACAGGAAACGAATAAACGAAGTGAAAGCAATGAGGTGCGATGCACAAGACGTAGAAGGATGAGGCAGTCGGCTGCGTCGTCCCGTATCGGAAAGGTAACAAAGTGTCTTGTGCTGACAAGTCATGCATACCATGGGGAATGAAGAAAACGTGAATGGTGGAGCGCATGACCTTTGCTAGATGCTGCACTACCTAAAAGCTGATCAAGTTGCAAAGTGGACCCGGGGGCTGCGAGGGTGTGCTCTCACTGTGACGTGCACACTCTCACAATTTTATCAGCCCCAGGTCACGCGCTCTGCCGTTCGCGTTTCATTCGTTCCATATAAGACATTTTCACATACTAGGAAAAAAAGTTAATTCCTAAGAAAAGAAAAGTTTGGTCTGACTTGAATATGACTAGCCCTTTTTCGTTGGCATCTAAGTGTTTGTGTTTTCTTACAATTAACTTATTTATTTATTGTTATTTTCAGTGACCCACCAACAGCTTAACGCCTCCTCAGTGGTGCACTTATCAATGAGTTAATGAGTAGTAAAATGTTAAACAGGATAAAAGCGAAAAGTTAGGAAAAAAACAATAGCCTCAACACACTTTCGAAATTAGCGCTTTTCATCAAAAATATCAAGGCTAGCAATCACACAAATCTGTTCTAAATGGTTATATAAGTCAGTTGTGGCGTGTCATGGGTGCAGCATGGGAAAAGTTGGTAGGGTAAAACAAAGTATGAAGTCTACAAGACTGACGAGGAACGTGCAAGTAGATGTGACTAAGTAGCTCTGGGGAATCAATTATACCATTTACAATCTTATACAATTATGTCAGTTCACAAATTGTTCGCCTGTTGTGCAACGAGTCTAACTTCACGAGTTCACAAATCCTCTGATAACTATAGAAATAATTCGGTTGAAAATAACGATCAAACAAAACGCGAACAAACCCACGTTGAACACTCTCAATTACATCTGAATTTGTCACTCCAATACAGTTCCAGACAACTGAGGAATATTCAACACGACTACGCACCAGTGAAGAAAACAAACATAGAATACAAAGTGGTTTAAAAAAATCGCGTGTCACTCGTGTATTGGCTGCCAGCACTCTAAAGGAAGCATTCATAATTGTAGTCACGTGATGATTGAAATTAATTGCAGGATCCATAAAAACGCCTAGATCACGGATGACCTCAACGCGAGTAATATTGGTGGAATCTATACATAGGGAAAACTCAGAATTTTACGCTTCCTAGAAAAGGACATAACTTTCGTCTTCGACTCATTTAAGAGTAGGGCATTTAAAAAACACCACGCCGAAATAGAATCTATATCACGCTGAAGACATTCACAATCGTCAACCGTTTTAACCGCTGTAAACAACTTAATATCATTAGCAAATAACAAAAACCGCGTGTGTTTAATAAAGGAAGCTAGATCATTTACAAAAACTAAAAACAGCAAAAGACTGAGGTTACTGCCTTGAGGAACCCCAGAAGTAGATAAAAAAGGAGCAGATTAATCGGTTGGATACTCGTACAAAGTTCAGCCGATGAGATAAATAACTATCGAGGAGACGACCGTACTTAAGGGACAGACTGTAACTACAGAGTTTACTCAACGGTACCTAGTCGGTGATTAACTTTATCAAAAGCTTTGTGCTCATACCAAAGTAGACTACATCCTCTTGTCCTCCGCTATGGACAGATGGTACAATCTGATGTAGGAAGGAACACAGGTTTGTTTCTGTGGAGTGGCCTTTCATGAAACCATGCTGCTCAGGAATAATCTTCCGACAAAAATATGCAGAAAGGCGGGTGTGCAAAACAATTTCATAAACTTTAGACAAACTACAAAGGAGGGAGACTGGCCTATAGTGGTTAACCATGGATCGATCGCCCGATTTATGTAATGGAACAAAAACAGTGCGCTTCCAAGCGGTAGGAAATGTTTCAGATGCAAGTGATAAGTTAAATATATGAACCAAAACTGGACAAAGGAGTGGAGCACAACCTTTTACTATGAAGCTGGGAATTCCATCTACTCCCGTAGATAACTTTGGTTTCAATTTTTTAATTGCCTCCAAGACTAAAGATTCATTAATTGGAGCAACAGTAAAAAAATCCAGGCAGTTTATATTTGAGCTAGGCATTAGGCCATTATTTGTACTGAAAGCAGCACTAAAGTGGCGCGCAAAAATATTAGCTACATCAACAGGGTCAGAGATGCAATCCTCATTATCTCGCAATGTGATCGTGGTAACATTCTCTTTGATGTTCTGTTTGACAAACTTCCACATGCGCTGTGGCTGTGTGCTCAATGATTTCTCGGCGATGTCAGTATGTTGTTGTTTATCTCGCTTAATCACATTGACTAAATCTCGTGTACCAAACGACACTGCCAGTTGCGAGTGAACACTGTTTCATTTTAGTCTTTTTTTGTCCTTCTGTGTCGGCATTTTTATCTGGTGCTTGATGAACCGACTGGCCCACACCGCCACTTTGCTGCGCATATTCACCCTCCACTTACTTTGGGGTTTCGTTGGGCCCCCAAATTGTGCGACACAACATTAGCTTCTGGCATGGCCAAGCTAGAGTGTGGGGTTTGTTTCTCTCTGGCGCTGCAGCTCGACAGGGTCGCTGCCTCCCTACCCCGCCTGCGGTGCCTTAAACCGCTCCTGTGGTTCACATCCGAACCTGTCCCGCATTGGCCTCCTGGCTCCGGGATTCAAATCTGGGGAAATATTTAAGCTAGTTAATAACCTCGGTCATAGGGCCACACAACTGAAACGCAAGAACAGTTTTTTTCTCTTTAACGATTCAATAAATGATTTTCTACAAACAAGCGTTCAGTTACAATGACCGAGCAAACTGTTCCAAGCTGCGCACTATAATTACTTCAGTCAGTACATTTGCGATCACGGTAGTTGGAACCATTGGGCAAGGTGGCTCGGGCAGTGCTGGGTAGAACAGAGCAATTGCATCCCTATGTGGCAAAAAAAAACAAAAAAACACTGCTCCTAGGTACGACAAAGGCCACAAGTAAAAGCACTCGGCCCAACCAGGCACAAATAATCCGGAGACAGTCACCCATGACCGCACACAACAGCCGGAGACAGAAGCGCAGACGAATTCATTCAAATAAGTGTTTTTTGCCATTCATTGCCACGGATAAACTTGTTTCGGAATCTACGGAGGTGCAAAGACTCTTGTCAACACTATATATTACTTTTCGTGAAATTATGCATAGCGGAAATTCCCTTTTTTGGCACAAACACTGTAGTCACATACAACCTAAAAAAACGCGGGACACATTGAGTCCTCGGCATCTTGTTACCGCTCCTCAGCCAACGAGGTTGCTGCACTGGCCAAAAAACAATGCCGGAGGACAAATTGCGAGGTAAGAAGTGCAAACATAAATAAGCCATGCTGGATACCCCACCCGCAATCCCACATCCCCAAGCAGTCACTCACTCGGAGCCGGCTGTGAGCAGCATCTCGACCATGCGCCCCGCATGGTTCTGCAGGATGGTCATCTGGAAGAGGTGCCGGCAGCAGTCGGGCAACCTGGCCGGCACCGCCATGCCCTCCCCGAGGCTCGTCGTCTGCACCAGGTTGCGCGGGCAGTGGTCCACCACGCTGAAGTAGTCCTCCCTGCACCGAACGGCCCCATGTAGGCAGACGACAGAGAGGGGAGACACGCGAGGCCACCTCTGCTGCCGGGCGTGGCGCCACTAGCCCTAAGGTCACGGCACGGCACCGGAAGAGGAAGAGGGAGGTGATTTGTGTCCTCCCGCTTCCTCCATACATCAGTTCCCGCAAGACCGTCTTGCAATACCACCAAAGAAACCGGCGAGCAGGCAGTGGCTCCACACGAAGAAGACCCGAGACCCAAAGTGCAGAAGAAAGAGATAACCTGCCACTATATTTACTCAACGGTCCTTCCCATGAAATATGAGACCTGCTAAAAAAATCTTTCAGATATCCCTCTAAGTCACGATTCAACTGAAAGTGTCACAAGTGCTACTGAAGACAACACGAGCATGAACGATTTGCAACGCTTCTCTGGTGTACCTCGAGCTTTTTTTTAAGAAGCTTCGTTCGAGGTAAAGTTGAATGCATGGTTCAGGTCCCATTTTCTAGTAGCCTTGACAGATCGAGAGACAATGAAGCTTGTGGGAACTACGGGTATAGTGAAAGGCCAGTTTGAAGACAGTGTAGACCGCATATAACATATGTCACGGGAGTCGCGAAAATCCGCACTGTAAGCGGTACCGTGCTATAACCAAAACATCAATTTTTCAGGCCAAAATACATGCCATGAGGGCTCTATCACACTTCATCCCAAGTCACTTCATCCCAGGACAGTTCATCCCAGACACATCATACTAAAGTCATTTCATCCCAGGATGTTTCACCCCAAAACAGTTTATCCCATGGACAATCCATACCACGACATTTGATGCCAGAATAGTCCATACGGTTCAGCCGATTTAAGGGCCACTCACTTCATATTAGGTCAGTTCATCCCAGGACTGTTTATCCCGGACACTTCATCCCAGGAACGTTCTATACCGAGACGTCTCGTCCCAAGACGCTTCATATCAAGGACATTTTATACATGGATATTTTATACGACAAAGTTTTCTGCCAAGAAGAAGTTATAAAATTTATAAAATCGGTTTATCACGCGTGGAACCGACATATGCGTTTTGTCTTTCTTCTATTGTCACTCGTGCCACGTAAGACCGTCCTGCACTTGGCATCGAGCTTCCATCAGTCGAACAGTCCAGCCGGCCCAACTCATTGATTGTCATTGAGTTTTTCTATATATAAAACATGGCTACCTTTGTGGCTTCTCGTCGAGGATTGCCGAAGCTCTGCTTCGACGGTTAAGGCCCGTTCACACTCTTGCGACCGAGTGCAACCGAGTACGACTGAGAGAGACGAGTTCTCTTAAAACTTGCTAAATGTTTTTAAAATGAGGGAACAAACTGGCATTGTGGCGCCATCTATGCGGTGACCCTGGAACTGCATTTCACAAGAGCGAAGGTTTTGCGGGATTTCCGCGGTCAAATGTGCGTAATACCCATAGAAAGGCTCGTTTATAACATTGACAAAAGTTTTTTGAGCCAAGAAAGAAAGGATTATGCGCGAGAAATAAAAAAAAAATATGCCGGACCGCCGAGTTTACACTGCTTCCCAATAGATGGCACCAGTGTGTTTTCTGGTTTAAGAAGTTGTAAGGAACCTAGGTTTAAGAGGTCGCAAGAGTGTGAACGGGCCTTTACATGTACACCAAGCACAGAACCAACGACGACAAGACGGCATGGAGATGCGAAAAATTCCAGGAGGGTTGCCGGGAACGAGCTGTTACTGCAGGTGAGACGACCACTGTGACACAAGGCCACACTTGCCATCTACCGAGTCCAGAAAATGCCGCTGCGGCGCGTTTACAAGATGAGATCAAAACTGCAGCCAAGCGTTCCCACGACACCCCTCGAAACGTCGTGGCCGCCTATAATTTTCGCCTGTAACAGGGAGCCGTGCTGCTTAAACACCTGCGAAACCTGGTTGTGTGACGGCACATTTAAAGTAGCACCAGAGATGTTTTACCAGCTTTGGGTTGTTCATGGCCTCTACAAAGGCAGGGTGCTTCCTCTTGTTTACTGTCTCTTGCCAAACAAGTGCGAAGCGACGTACAAAAGAGCAACGCGCATGCTGCTTGAGGCTATTGACGATGCCACTTCAAGACCACGACAGGGGCACACAGTCGTGATGGGCTGCGAAAAGGCTGAAGAGTATTTTTTTAGGGACATCATTCCTGACGTCGAGGTGCATGGATGCTTATTTCATTTCGCGCAAAGCATTTGGCACTGCATTCAAGAGCTCGGCATGCACACGCGATTCATTGATGATTCCAGCTACCACCTCATCCTGAAGAAATTCATTGCACTGTGCCTCTGGGATGTTTTCGACGTCTGCGACAGATATCGCATGCCCGCAAGACAGCTGCTGGACTTATTTGGACGCACGGAACAGCACCAAGACTTCCTAGACTACTTTGAGAACACCTGGGTCAGTCAAACCCACAAGGACCCAAGGTTCCCAATATCCATGTGGAATTGCAAGCGCGTGACAGAGGTCAGCTTTCCCAGAACCAACAATAGCGTTGAAAGCTGGCATCGGGTATTTCAAAATTCGATCGGTGCATCCCATCCTACAGTATTCAAGTTGTTGGATGCGCTTCTCTCCGGACAAGTCCGTGTGAACGCGATGGCCATCCAGTTGGACGTGGCTCATGAGCCACCGCTATACACGAAGAAGGAGTACGTGTAATCCAACAAGCGTCTATTCCGGATCCTGGATGACTATAACAACAGAGATGCAGACAGGTTTCTCAATGTGTGCTCGTGCTATGTACTTAGCGATTCTTGAGTGTATTAGCCAGAATTGTGTGCTCTGAAGACTGCATTAGCCCAAATTGTGTGTTCTGAAGAGCATATTAGCCTGAATTTTGGGCTCTGAAGGTGTGTCACGATTTTGCTCTTATGGGTGGGATATTGTAAAATAAACAGTTTCATTTTTTATATTTCTGGTGGATGTTGTCTTGGAATGATACCTTTCGGCCGGTTTTTAAGTAATATCAATCCCCAATATTGCGGTTTGTTGCGGTATTAGCGGCGAGATGTTTCGGTGGCGCCCTCCAATGGTTCCCCCTTGTGACGTCATTACCTTGCGAACAACAAGTTCGATGGTGTTTGTAAATAGCATGGTGGAAGCCTGAAATCATTGCACTCTCAAAGCAACACTGCCAACACCGTCGAAATTAAAATTCTTTCATTCCTCTTATTTCCGTCAATGGTATACCCTTTCCGACGTCATATTCAGCTTTTGGGCCAATCGCGGAAGGCCGACTACAGCGACGCTTTCGGTCGCGCACGTCGCCAATACAGCTTTCATAAGTAAATCTGACCATTACAGCAGCACTACAAATAGGGATCGAAGTAAGTGAATGAATAAGAGAGGAGAAGACAAAAAGAGAAGAAAGGCTCTAAGTGGAATGGGCTGACTTTCGCAGAAGTCCAGTACCGAGTTGTCTGTGGGCACTCCATGCACACCCAAAAATGACGATCATTTAAGTGCTGCAGACGGTGAAATGTGACCTATTTTACATGAACACGACAACTTTGATGCTGAGCAAAGAATAGTCTAAGATTTCTTCTTGCTCGAGCTCAGCAACTCGTGGGTGCCCCAAATTATTCTGGTATGAAATGCCCGGGTATTTCATACCACTGGCATGAAGGTCTTGGGATGAAACATCTAAGGATGAAATGACTGGTATGAAGTGACCGGGATGAACATTCCTGGGATGACGTATCCGGGGATGAAGTGTGGCAGAGCCACTCCGAAGTATGAAATATCCTGGCATGTAATGTACAAAGGATGAAACATCTTGGGATGAAACACCTCTGGTATAAAGTGTATGGGATGAAGTGTCATGGGATGAAGTGTCTTGGGATGAACTGAATGGACCCCGCCATGAGACAACTTATCTTTGTAAAACAATTTATTTTATGTTAGGTGAAAAATAAAGCTTAGTCTGAGGAAAGTCCTTATTTCACCAGACTAGTTCACTTCTCTCTCTAGAGTGTCACACATTTTGAAAGAAATGAATGACTTTTTCCTGGCGCAGCCTTTTAACGGCGTAGCGGACGACCTGGTCTTCGACAACGCTAAGGCATTTGAACACCTCATCACTAAAAAAGTTCTGCTCACAGTGAACCTTCAGTTTCTATAAGAATTCCAGTGCGTCTTTAGTTGAAACTTCAGGCGTGCTCTCTTCATCATCGTCCGGCTCATCTTCGGGTGGACTCGCCCCAGAACCTCGCACCGCTGCAACAATAGCTTCATCGGTGGTTACTTTCTCACGGATAACAGAGTCGTCGTCATTCTCATCTACATAGTATTGAAACGTGTCGTTTGCAGGAACAAAGTGGTTTTCCACAAGGTCAGACCACACGTCGTTCGCTCCGATCGCCTCGTCAATCGCATCACTGAGCAGATCGGCGTCCTCTGAATTCCCGGCATCGCACACAAACCCTGCGTTGCAAAAACACTTCTGGATGGTTGTGGCCTTTACTTGCCACCACGAAGCGGTGACCATGTCGATGCCGCGCCCCTCAAGTCCATCATGAGGGGTTCTTCTCGTTGCAAATTCAAGACGACTCTTTCGCACATGCGCTTCTTGTAGAGCGCCTTGACTGTAGCGATGACGCCCTGATCGAGCGGCTGGCTTTTAGCAGTGGTGTTTGCCAGTAGGAACTTCAAACTGACTGCACTTAATTGTGGCTGCACATTGTGAGTGCCGCAGTTGTCCAGAGTAAGGATGACGCGCCGCTTTTCTGCGACCATGGTCTCATTGAAACTTTTCAGCCAACTAGCAAAGAACTCTTGGGTCATCCAGGCCTTTCCATTTGCTGTGTACACCAGAGGCAGACATTCTTGCTTCCTGAAGCAACGGGATCGCTTTGATTTCCCGATGATAAAGATGATAAACAAGCGCCGCTTGTCGAAGCCGTCCATGTTTGCACAAAACGAAACCGTGGCACGTTCCCTTGAGACTTTGCGGCCGGAACAGGGATCACCTCTCATCGCGAGAGTGCGATCGGGAAGCATGTTGTAGCACAGACCAGTTTCATTGGCATTATAGATGTCTTTGTCCGCGTACGCGGAAAGCATCGTCTCGAGATGAATGTGAAACCACGCCTGGATGCTGGCTTCGTCGACTTCCCCACTTTCGCCCGAGATAACTTTGCAGCTAATCCCGTGGCGATCATTAAACCGCTGGATCCATCCGTTGAGGGGGTTGAAGACTTCATGTTTGAACAAATGTCCAAAGGACTTAGCTTTCGATTGTAGCATCGGGCCACTCACTGGGATGTTCTTGGCTCGCACTTGGCGAAACCACCTAAACAAGGCTTCGTCGACTTCCTCATACTTTGACGTACGAGTCCTCTTTCTTGAGAGCGACGCAGAATCTTTGCTGTAGCTTCTCCCAGTTCTTCCAGACAGTAGAAACCGTTGTGTCAGCGACGTTGTACTCGGCTGCGACGGAAGCTTTTTTTCATGCCACTTTCGACATCTTTGACGATGCTCTGTTTAGTTTCAAGAAACAGGGCTTGTCGTTTCTTGGCCATCTTGGGCTTGGGAGATGGAGAGATCGGGATGGGTGGTCGATTTCCGCACAATATGCTTGACATGATCCACACGCGGTCGAAACAGACGACGTGGAGAAGTTAGAAAACTGCAAGAAGCAAAACTAGAAACTATCCAGCTATCCAGCCTTCGTTTTGCGCGCGCGCGCGGTGTAAGAAAAGAGGTTGGTGTTGCGTCACTCGGGTGAGGGGGTGAAATCGAAAGGGTGAAAGGCTTGGGGGTGGCTCGATGGAGCTTTCGGAGTTGAGCACGCGCGTGCGTGTGTCAGTCGCACCTCACTGCGTTGTAACTCGCTGCGTAGTCATTTCTCTTCGCCTCTCTCTTTGCTTCTTCGAGCAACCTCCTTGCCATCTTTGCCCACCGCGAGTGCCGCTTGCAGCTAGCGCCGTTACCTAGTGTCGCACAGGGAAGCCTGCTCGCTGCGCCGGTCGGTCGGCGGGGTCGGTGGGCTGTTCCAGAAACCTCACTATAACCGGTATTTCCCTTCAAGCGCCTGCATTTTAAGCAGTATGTAATTACCTAAAATCCCGAGAGATAACCCACCCAACATCAAGAGCAAATCAGGTGAAAATATGGAGTGGCCTAACTTTCGGTGTACATTGAAGAAAATTTTCAAACATTACTATTTTTAGTTCATGTTCTTCTCCGGCTTGTTATGGTGGCGAGGGGCAACTAAGCAAAAATAACTGTACTTCCCAGTTAGCAACATTCGCTTATATTCCGCCATAGCTAACTAGCCGCAATTACGCCAAGGTCATCATTGACCCCAAAACTACTATTACTAGGAGTCGAGTATCTTTCGGTGTTTAAAAAAAAATAGCAAATCATTGAAATCAAGCCAAAAATAGGGGTGGGCTATCTTTCGGGGGTGGGGCATCTCTCGGAATTTTACGGTACATGCAGTTGTATGGGAGACGAAACGGTGGTTGAAAATCCCCCATTATACCCGGTCCTGCACTATAAGTGGTTACGTTATAAGTGGTCTATACTCTACTACAGCTCACATTGGCAGCTGCGGTACACACTGGCTTTCATCACGAATGGGCGCCGACAAAGGGTAGCGCACAATGACGTCTGATGCTGCCCCACCGGTCACCAAGGGTGGGGTGTCAAGGGCTTTATGTGGTCTTACCCTTTCTTCTTGGTGATGAGCAGCAGGTCAGTGAAGAGGAACAGGTGCAGGGGGGTCTTAGAGTAGCGGGCCGTGCGGCCAAAGGTCCTCTTGCTGTGCAGGTCAAAGGTCACCTTCACCAGCTCGCCTCGCTTCACCAACCACCGAGAGGATGAAATCAGGGGCACCGCCTGCGCGGCCCCAAACCCCACGTTAGGCGCCCCTGTCGGGTGGATACCGCTGACCCAGACCCATCCCTCGAGTGTCGCTTAGAGACACTTTAAAACAACTCCCATTTCAGCCTCAAGGTAGATTTTTTTAAACTTTTGCTCCCTTTAGAGGGGGGAGAGGAAATCATAGGGTGTGCATGTTAGTGCAGAGCAGAGCCCATGGAGCGAAAGCTTGCACTGCTCCCTGTTCTTGCCTGTTTCGATTTGGATGAGCATCGTTTTGGCGTCAGGTCGTGTAATCACCACTGCCGGATAAATGCTAAAAACTCAAGGTTAGCAGTCATATTGCACTGGCTATATTGCTCATGCAAATATACTACAAAAGTCGGGAGACGTCATAGGTAATTAAAATAAGAGCACCGACTTGACAGAACAGAAAAAACAATTTCATTAGACGTTTCGCCTCCCATGTGGGAGGCATCTTCAGCAGTTACAAAGCAAATGTAAGGTTAAACCTCAAGCCAACGCTATTTATCAGGAATGTCCGTATAAGCTTCGTGGAGAGGGCCGCGGTTTTTGTTACACACGAATGTGTCCCTGCGGACAAACCATGATTCTAGGAGTTTGCGGGGCCCCCATCTGTCCTCCCACGCCAAGGTCGTCGCGGCTGCAAAGTGGAGGCGAAACGTCTAATGAAATTGTTTTTTTTGTTGTGTCAAGTCAGTGCTCTTATTTTAATTATATTGCTCATATACAGCACAAACTAGTGTTATCACACCTCAGAGGCACAGCAACCTCATGCTGTCTTAACAGTGAACGTCTAATTTGCTTCTGTTTTTTGTTCCCTATTGTTGCTAATACATCATAGGCACGATTTTGTATTTTCGGAGTTTATTTCTCGTGAAATTCGGAGGGTATTTTTCGGAGTTTTTTTTTCTTTTTGCTGAAGGTTCATGGTTTATCGGAGTTTATTTTGGTTAGATTCCCAATCGTCTAAAAATTTGGAGTTTATTTTACTATGTTCTAAATTTTAAAAAGTTCAAAAGCAAAAAATAAATTCCGGCTACCATAACCCATTATCCTGAAGAAACCTTGTCGAGCTAAAAGGTAAACCCTTTTTTGTCTGTAGTCTGAGATTTCAAAGGAAACAGAAGTGGCATCTCCTCAGGACCACTCACCCTGTGCTCTTATAAAGTTTACTCTAAACTAAAATCTTTTTTTTTTTCGCTTTTTATTTTATTGTAACCTCAAAATACCGAGTTTTTCGGATAAGTCCGAATAGACGGAAAAGTTACTGGCAAGCGTTTTTCGGATTTTCTTGGATTTATCTGAAAACACTGAACCCTAATCACAAGTTAATGGTACTTCCCAGATGTCCCTTCATAAAACATAAATTTGAGCAGTGTTTCTTGGAGTTTAGTATTTGCAAGAAAGTTGGAGATTTTTTAGACCCTTAGCAGATGCTAACTTAAAACTTAGAATTGATTGGGATCTTAGCGCTGCATCCTAATTTCAAACATCAACAAAATCAACCACACAAAAAAAGAAAAAAAGGTTTATTACAATTGATCTTTCCAAGCTTTAGTCTGCCCACTTCAATCACTATTGTCCTCCAATTGAGTAGCATTTGTGCCACATTAAGGGCCCTCGTGCACTGCAAGCATTACACAAACCTTGCAGTCCTTGAATTCCAGGATGCGACTGATGTGCAGCATCTCCTGCATACGTCCCATCTTCCTGGCACCATCATTGCAGTCCAGCACAATCTGCGAGATTTCCCAGGATGGACACCTATTATGACCAACCATTTATCATTCATCTAGCTACTATACGTTAAAAATGAAGTAAAGATTGTTCCTACAACTCTCCTAAACAAGCTCACATGCTCCTCGTCCAAGATCTCCAAGCGTAAAAAAAAATGTCTTGAGCCTGGCTAAATTGCTGACCCTCAAGTTCTCGAGCTATTTGCCTGATGCCATGGTCAAACGCCTCTGTATGACCATGGCATCTGTTTGACCATGGCGTCTAATTAACTTTGCAGGACAAGAGCCACCAATGCCGTGTTCCAAAATTTACTCTATCTTATTAAGAATATCTGGAAGGCCAGTTGGTTGTACACATTGAGATATTGAAGTGCAAAATGAGGTTTTGCACTTAGGTAAATATTTCAATACTCCATCTTACCCCAGGGTAAGGGTTTTTGTGCCTCGGCCCTGGCATATGACATTTGCCTTGGCCAAATGACGGACACTGTCGTTCCAACGCGTTAAAGGACCACAGAAATTAAATAATTTCTGTGCTGGTTTTGAGACGGTGTTGTCCTTGTCCTCTCTGTTCTCTAGGTTTTTCATTATGAAGAAGTCAAACTTTGACAAAACTTGCCAAGAGCTGAAAGGTTGGCTGAACCGGTTGAACCTCAAGTTTGACAAATGCTTCCAACATCCCCGGTCACGACAGACCCCTCCATCCCTCTCTCGCAACTGAGATGCCTGGAACGCATCACCGGCCAATGCATTTGCTGCGTCCAAAAACGCGATCCCTCCGTTTCCGCCCGACGACGTCGTACAAGCCCAGCTCTGTCGTCGGTCGTGACCGTAGTGGTATCACAGCAGCGGTGGTGGATGTGGCAGACGCCTGTTCTGCGGAAACTCGCTCTCCGGCCCGACAGTCCACGGAAGCTTTGGCAGCCAGGAGTCGAAACGCCACGACGACGGCGACACTTGTATTTTCTCACATTTTCCAGCCATAGTTGTTAATGGCCACTTCCCCGCGTGAGCGTAAACGCCGTCCGTTTCCCCGCTAAATTTAGCGGAAAAATTGACGTCACGTGACTTATGCACAAATTCAGTTTTCCTGCTAATTTTTGCGAAAAAATTGATGTCACGTGACCTGACGTCACAGGACCTACCGACAAATTCAGGTTCCCCACTAAATGTTTTTTGGCATTTCCATGCCCAACCGCCTGGATCGCAGCATCCGACAGCAACCGACATGTCGACTACTGCGACGTCGCTTGACACCACTTCGGGACTGCTTCTGATGCGTGGGTGGAACGGGACGCCTAGTGCGTCGGTCGGAGGCGGGTTCCAGGTACAGCGCTTGCAGAAGAAAGTGACCGCACGGCGGAGGCCGAGACTGGCACCTTGTTGATGGCGGTGAGTGCCTCCTGGCAGCGCCGGTACTTGGGGGACCCCTCCGGCAGCCGTCTGAGGATGGCGTCCACCAGAAGGGGCAGGCGGGTGATGCGCTGCATGGGCAGCAGCAGGAACGACGACATACTGAGCCCCTGGCAGCAAGGTGCCCGCTCCAGCCGCTCCAGGGCCTCCACCCACTCCGGACGTGTGTCCCTGTGGTGGGGTGCGGCGTAGTACGTCGTGGTTAGACCACTGGGCGCTCGTGGGTTACGTCACATAGATTGACCTAATGGTGGAGCCGCAGCGTTGTCTTCCTTTTCCTTTCGCCACCTATTTCTCGGTAAAAGGGGAGTCGTACGCGCCATATTGGACATGGCGCTTGCGGGGAAGCAGCTTTGCGGAGCGCCAAGTTTGGGGTGGGACATAGTATTCGTTTTGCGTTCGCGAAATGTGGATCTTACCCTGAAGTCCGACGAGCGGGAAGCTTTTCGAACATCATGTATGCCATGTGTAATTGCATTAGTTTTATAATGCAAGCGCCGTTACAAAGTGGCCACATACAAGCCGATGACACGACAACCAACAACACAGCACGTCAGTGCGTGGCTGAGATGCACTAAATAATGCTTGAACAGGGAAGACATTTGACTTGGGAGGGGCAGGGACGACCGATAAAATCTGAGTGCTCGAGGAAAATCCCGAGGGTTACCGGACTTGTGGGAACCTAGTTTGGGAATTCCTGTATTATTATAATCATTACTAATTGGGAACACCATCAGCTCCACTCAAGAAGCCACAGTAGGAATGATTACAAAATAGAAAAAAAACAGAGATGCAGTGGCACACCAACAGGGAAACTAGCTTAACTAAAGAACATATGCAAAAGAAAAACTTCTTTTTTAAACAGCCTGGATGGAAAAAAGTTGACATAAAATAAATTTACAACGACAATTTTTTCCTTTACAGTATCTATATTTACAGCGCAAAACGAATTTGTGGTTGGTGCCCGCGGGAGCCCTTGGAAAAGTGGCTACTAGAGTCACGCGACTGGCCATTATAGTCACATGGTGCTTGCACTCTTTAGGAAGCTTCCTATGGGCTCTAAACGTTACTTGTTAATCTTCGTTTGAAAGGCATTAAAAGTATGACGATTAGTAAGTAACTTTTAAAACCCACAGGACACTCCCGAAAGAGTGCAAGCACCACATGACAGACCTCTGTGCCGGTCAGAAATTGAAGGTGGTGGTGTGCAGGAGTGTTCCCTTTCCGCGGCAGCGAGGAAAAGAAGTTGCAAAATAATGATGATGATTATAACTTTTTTTTTTTTAATCTTATTTTTTTATTGCGGAAGCACTAACTCTCCCATGTGGCAAGCCGACGCCATCAGTTTGAAGCGTGCTAAACGGCACCTTAAATCTTTTCTCCAAGTGAAGCCAGCTTCCAGCTATGAAACCACACAAAAAGCCTAGACAACGGCACTAAGTTTCCCCAATCCCAAAGTAGCGGCGTAAAGCTGATGGATTTTGCCTTCGGTCCCATTGGCTGGCACGCATCAATGAGGCTCCCACTGGCTGCGGCACGCGTCAGTTTCAACAACCGCCACCCCATGGCGCTGCGTGTCCGCACCGCGAGCGCGCCTGTAGCATGAAGCTTCCAAGTTCAGAGCTGCGAGGAGAGCTGGGAGAGTGCATGCACAGCCTACGCGAATATGCTGCAAACGAAACACGGGAGCGGAAGAACGGCACGCATGCTTTTTCATTCGCAGCTCATAAGAAGTGCTTATGTGTACCTCAAGCTTTTTTATTTTTCAAATAAATAGGATTTGCAAAGATTTCTTTTTTTTTATTTGAAACAATACTTTAAATTACTTTCTGCGTATAAAGAAGAAACAAAAAAGCTTGAGGTACACCAAAGCATTTCTTAGGAGTTGTGAATGCGAAGGCATGCATGTCATTGCTCCGCTCTCTTTGTTTGCGTTATACTAGCGTGGATGGGCAGGTTGCGTCACTGCCGCGATGGCGGGTGCCGACGATGTAGATGCTCGCGGCGGTGCCATTGTCGTCGGCGTCAAGACGAGCAGAAGCACCCCCCACGATGTGAATACTGGAGGCGGCGCCATGCTCGTCGGCAACGACACGAGCAGAAGCCGCTGAGCGCGCGCCAGCGTGTCCGTTTTACCGGCATGAAGCCCGTGGCACCATGGGGTTGCGCCGCTTCGTTTTACAGGCGTGCGGGCGGCAGGGGCCCGCAGCGCCATGGGGTGGCCTTCTTTAAAACTGACGCGTGCCGGCCAATGGAAGCCTCGTCCCTTGAAACTATGACGCGCGCCAGCCAATGGGATTCCAATGGCAATCCATCAGGTTTTGGATTCACTTTACCCCAATGGAAGAAGGGAAACTAGGTACCATTTGGCTAGGCTTCTTGCGTGACTTCAAAGCTGGGAGCGATCAGATCGTGGCTTCACTTGGAGAAAAGAGTTTGGCGCGGCTTCAAATCTGATGACGTCAGCTCTCTCCATGGGACAGTCAATGCTTTCGCATTAAAATGCAATCAGCACCACGCTCAGCGTGCGGCGGCAGCGGTGGCGTGGAGGTTCTGGGGACTTCAGCGGTAGCGCACAGGTCTATGACGTGACTAGTGGCCAGTCACATGACTGGTGGTAACCAGCTCCCGCGAGCGCCAAATAAGCATCTATTTTGCACCAAAAATATAGCTAAAAAATGTTTTTTGTTTTGTTGTAAATTTATTTTAGGACATTTTTTTACCTAGAAAGTTCAAAGAAAACATATATTTTCTCCGTTGCATATGTTTTTTTAAGTGCCACTCTACAGCCTCTGTAGTGACAGAATGTCGTCAAGGTCGCAATATCATCCGTAATATCACTCCACTCCTGAAGTGCAGAACTGGGTTCTCGGGATCCGATTGGGAGCCTCAAGATGGCGGCTGCGCACAAAGGTCCCTCCGAATCGACGCTCACGGCCCACCTGAGCTCCTTGAGCAGGCGGTCCTGGTGCATCTGATTGGAGCAGTAGCGCACGTAGACACTTAGGTGTTTGGTGGCGTGCTCGAGCAGGATGTCGCACACATCCTCAATCACCAGGCTCTGCTCCCACCGCCTCTCCAGGTCTCCCAGCAGGCTGCATGGAGGAGGGGAACAACATCCCGTCAAAGGTAAAAGAGGCGTCGTAGCACCTTCGGGAAGAGTCTGCGTGCAACTCCAACCGCAGCCCCCTTCCCCAAGTGTAAGAAAGCCCTTAAGTAGGCTTTCTGTCTAGGGTGTCTCTCCTTACTGCCAACCTGACATCACTAAAGTTTTACAGAACTGTGTTTGCATATCCGATACGGTACGATGGGCCCTCCGGTACGAGCTGCGCATGTGCGAGTTTTCTGCAGTCTTACCGTTTCAAGTCATTTCAAGGCACATGGTGCGTTCGCACGCTCAATCCAAGGTATAAATTGTTTTTGTCTATCGATCGTATTTTGTTCTCCTGTATATCTCCTGTATGGGAGACGAAACGTCTGATTAAATTTGTTATGTGAAGTCTGTGTAGTTTTTTTCACCACAACACTTTCCTCCCTCTATCACCCACTCTGTGTGGCACAGGCCGCACAGCACCATTGGTTCTGCATTAAAAAGCCTCAAGTAAGAGTGTGTTCAACTTGAACCATGAAGAGCATTTGCAATTTAATGGCGGCGTTAAAGATGGCGGACTATACCCTTTTTTGCATTTAAAATATACTTGTCCTAACAGAAAAAGAATGGTGTCTAAAGAAAAGTGTTCTTTTGTTCTTCACATAAAATATTCAAGCATCTCCAGGGCTGTTTATAACCGGAGTTATCTTGAAAAACCACCAGTTGCCCCATAGACCCACAGCAAAATGTTGCAATTTAATGGCGTCCATAAACACATAACCCTGGGCAAGCAATCAAACGCACTCTTAGTTGAGACTCTTTATTCTGTGTGCTATGATGTCAAACCAACAGCTGCACCTGTGCTCCATTGGCAAAGCTCTCTCCCATGACCTTGCCGCTACGTGACTAAAAACAGCGTTGATACAAGCGAGCAATGTCTGTACAGAGTTCCCTCATAAAACAGTCACATTTATAGGTGGTTTACAGTGACTTGCTTTTCGAAGCAATCTTTTTCTCCTCACTCTCACAACTTTGTGCTTGTGCACGGGGTAAGGAAAAGGGGGGAACTGACCGCTGGCTGGCCTCCCTGACCGGCAGGACGTCCCCAAAGAGGGTGTCCCACTCCCTGCGGTGCAGCACCTGGGGCTGGGCCAGCTCGGGACAATTGGCAAAATGGTCTACCAGCACCTGCAGGCTGCGTGCGTACGAGGCCTCCGAGGTGAGCACCTCGAACTGGGCCTCCTGCAGGCGCACCTCGGCTGGGGACAGCCGCTCCAGCAGGCCGCTCGCTCGCACCTGCACCGGGTGTTTTAACGACAATGACATAACGGAGGGCAGTGCTTCTTAAATGGGGTCCCTGGACCCTTTGGGATCCTGAAGACCTTTTTAGGGTTTGCGAACCGCTTGGCCATCTGTCAAGCCGAGCAACAACTTTTTTTGTTGATGCATGATGTCCCATAATGTTAAATAGACCAGACCCCAGACCATGCATGCCAAGTGAGTAGGGTTGATTACACTGTTTTGAGAACTTCAAACTTGGTTTGCATGCATTTAGGTCTCTTGCTTTACCCCTTTGTCATTGTAATTGTCAGCACCCCCCCCCCCCCCCCCCCCCCCCAACACCCCCCAGTAAATGAGGTCCCCCCACAACTTCTGTCGATCCAGAAGGGGTCCCCAAAATCTGTGGTTGAGGACCGTCGATCTAAGGACTTGAGATAGTGTGTGTGGAAGCGGGAGGCCCATATTGCTGGTGTTGCAATGTCAAGATGGTGGGAAAAGTTGCTCTGTCTCAAGCCAGCCTTACGAAAGGAGCCCAGTGAATAATAAAATGAAAAGAATGCCTGGGTTGGAGAAATACGGCTAGCACAGGGATGCCAAGCGAGACAATAAACATTCTAGAATTTCTGTGCAGGTCTCTCTTCCGAGCCCGACCGTTACAGGCGCCTAGTCACTGGCTGAGCCCCTTCCGTAAGCCGTGACTATTGGCTTCCCCTGGGTGCTGCACACAAGTGCAGCACCCTTTCCCACACTATCCTGTTAAATGGAGTGGTAACACAAAATGCAATGTGGGTTGTTTTGCAGCGATGCTGTCAAGATAAATTTGGTATGCACTATGTGCTTAGATGGTGCAAATATTGTGTGCTGTTTAGAACCGAGCGCTTCCGTGCTTTTTCATACCGGTGGATTTTCATTTGATGCTCCCGCACTACAGGAAACTGGTGCGAGCCAGCCACCATAACACATTGCGCATTAAAAAGATTCTCTGCTCTAAGAGTAAATATGGTAGCTTTGCCGGCAACTTCAAATGTATTTCGCACTTTTGCAAGTTAGCCTCCGTGAAATAGAAGTTGCCGAAAGGTGTCGGCGGTCGTAGTAGTTTCTTCAACCTCCAGGGTCGTCCCAAACTTTAAGTTCGGAAAACTGCAGAAAAAATCAAGGACAACTTGGATCGAACAACACAGGGTGCCGCCCATCGTTTAGTCCGTCTCGTCCCCTCCTTTCTCGGCGCATTTTTAAAGTTCAAGACGAACCAACTGGCCTCGTTTACCACCAGGTACATTAGGCTCGCAATAATTCAAACTCGGATATCTAATACTTCTGGGTAATTCAAACAAATTTCAAAATTTTGGTTGTCCCACTACGGTTTTATTCTATTCTTAAGCTGCTTTTTTTGTTCTCGCGGCCCCATTGTGTACACTTCTTTCCGAGCAAAGGTGCACTACAGAGAGGCAACACGCGCAGAAATTGCCTCCGCGGGTGTTGCTTCTCTGCAGTGCACCGTTGCTCGGTGAGATGCACACTCAACCAGGGCACACATGAGCTATGAAAATGGGCAGTGCGCGGAAATTTCCATAGCAACTTGCGCGGACACTGTGACGTGGCGGCATGGCATAGGTCCATGTCACAATGTCTGCGCAAGTTGCTGTGAAAACTGATGCGGTGCCCGTTTTTATTGCCCATGTGTCCCCTGCTTCACTGTCCGCATTAGACAACTTCTTGGCCCAATGAACAAACTTAATTTTGTTCCGAGTTGTCATGGGTTGTCTAAACAGTCCACGATAAACCACATTTTTGACAGATAAATAAACATATGACATGCATATCACAAATGTTTCATGTGTGGCATATCTGATTATGATCAGTAGGCCTCTGTTGAGGAAATCATCAAATATCTGCTTTCTATGTATAGCTATTCATATGGCGAATCATAATTTTATCTTGCATCATATTTAGATGCCTTTTGGATAATTCAAACTTCCAATATTGCAAACAAAATTTGTGCTAACAGTAAAAAAGAACAAAACAAACAGAGGGACAAAAACAGACATGTTTGTTTTGTTTTGTGCTTTCTTACTGTTACATCTGTCCCAACACGCTCGTCAAAGTCTTCAAAATTTGTGGCTTCCTGGAACTAATGAGTCTACTGTAAACACAAACGTTTTGCACAGCAGTGGGGGTGCAACGCACTGAACTGAGCTGCCCCACGGTGAAAGTGTGCACGCACCTCGGGCACCTCGCACCAGAGGCTGCGCTGGCCCGTGCCGCAGGGCAGGAGCTCCATGGCCGACCGCCTGGTGCGGGGCTGGGCCGTCTCCTCCTCCTCCTCCGAGCTGGATGACTCCTGGGCCACGCACTTCTGGTAGAACTGGTACAGCGGCTCCTCCTCAAAGGGGCCCTGGAAGACGCACGGGACGCCGTTGTGCGATGGCGGGAATGATGGGGGCGGAAAAGCGCACAAGCGTGCGACAGTAACTCTCTCTGTGCAGGGAACGCACGTCCACTCCAGAAACCTAGAAGCGTCACTCACGGATTGGTACAATTTAGGTCGAACGAATTCAAACTCGCTCTAAATAAATCATGCAAAACTGGTGCCCCGAGCGAGGAAACCGTAATTTACCCCAAAAGTTAGGCTAGGTAGTGCGTTTGGTCCGCAACAATGTACAAAGGCAAAATTTACCGCCATAAAAAAATATGAATAAAAAGCGACATGGTTCAATGAATCGACAGAGTGATAAATTCACACGAGAAAGGTTTGTAAAGGCTTTCTATTTACATTATTTATTAAGGCGTAAGCCTTATATGTCTCATCGTTCAATTGACCGTCAAAGTCCTTGAGCAAAAACACGTCGGCGACATAACGGTACCAAAACGTTTACGTGACCACTCAGGTGAATTAGAGGCAGTGAAACTAAGAAGGATGACAAACCGAATTAAGAGGAATTAAAGAGAAGAGTAATCAAAGTGAATTTAGAGGAATCAAAGTGAATTTAGAGGAATTAAAGTGAATTAAGAGCAATTAAAGAGAAGAGTAATCAAAGTTAATTTAGAAGGACGACAAAGCTAATTAAGAGGAAATGCAGTGGAGGAATTAAAGTGAATTAAGTGGATGACTAAGTAACTAAGTGAAAGAAGAGAATGTGAAACAAAGTAAATCGTGTGTCTGTCTTTAATGCATCGGCGCTTGGGCTTTCGCCTTCGACTCGTCTTGGAGATAACATAGGAGACCCTGTGAATTTTTTTTTTTTTTTACGCTCTTTAAAAGAGAGTTATATCTAGGTCCATGTCGGAAGCATATCGCCGAATCTCCAGATCTCTGAGCATAAGGCTTGCTTTGATCTTGGCTTCCATTCGTAACATCTTTATGTGAAGAAGTTCACTTTCCAGTCACAACCTCAGAGTAACATCCTGGCATAACAAACTGACTTTTGCCATTTATTTAGTCTTTTCGAGTCACTTGGCCCATGCTGCAGCGCTTGACGTTCTTTGCCGGTACTCTACTGCCTTAAAGCACCACTAAAAATGACTAGAGGAGTTCAATGAGTGAATTAAAAACAAATAGATGACAGCTATAAAAGTTATAAAAATATGCATGGCAGGACATGATTGTGCGACTGCTATGCCACGACGTAGTGGGTATGAATCTCCTTCCAATGAGGAAAAGGGATATGCAAAACACTTACCTGGGGACTTATTACGTCTTCACCCTCCGGCATTTGGCTGTCAGGCTGCTCTGAACCACTGCGAGGAAAAAAGGAAGCCTCCATTCACAATCTAACAGTGACACAAATAAAGCATGATAGATAGGCCCGGTAGACTGACAGAGCCAGGAAAACCATTTCACAAGTTGCTAGTAGTAACTTACAGCAAAGGTGTGGCTAGATGCTGAAAAATATGGAAAAGAAAACCATTAAATGTACCGTAAAAAAAAAACAAGAAAAAAAAAACACTCACATTTTTATTACAGTTTAGTGAAAGAAAGGATGTAGGTGCTGGCTTACTTCAGATAAAGAAAAAGGCAAGTTTGTTTGTTGAAAACAGAAAAACAACAGAACAAACAAATATAATATAAAGTACTGACTAATCCCCAACTCGGAATCCAATTCCGTGAAATTATGCTTAAAGAGCTCCAGCACCCGCAAAAACCAATTACTTTTTCATGCAAAGCTCTTAATCGTAAAGTCAAGATGTTATTACTCAGTGCTTCTAGAAGAGACCAGATTCAGCGTTCAGTTCACGCACCCCAAGACAACCTGGAGGAGCTTGGGGCAGACAGGGTAGAATTAGGTGCCCACAAACATAACCACAACGGTATTTCAGACTAATGCCTGCTCAAGTGAGGTAGAAATATTTTGGCTAACGATGGAACATTGGAAAAGGTGGGTGCCATGCATAATCCCCGGGTTCGACACAAGCTCCCAGAAAGACAGCTGAACAGGGGACTACTTAGCACCAGCACCTGGAAGTGGTGCAGCACAAATGTGGAACTTTCAAGTGCTCGTTGTGAGAATGACAAGGCAACGTTTTCCTCCTTTCTTGCGCCCTGTCGACGGTGAAATAAACTTGGCAATGTAACGGCCACAATGGACTTCTTCCAAAACCGACGCGCCCCATCGCGGCGAAATACCACGCAGTGCACTCTGGGAACTAGTTGGCCACTCAGTTTCGGTTTCGACTGAGCAGCTTCATCTCATGCTATCACGCCGCGACCGAACGCGCTGCTTGCGTTTTCGATTATCTGACTTTTCACGAACGTACAATACACTCATTCTCGAGCGATAAAAAACGAAGACGGGGGAACTTTTCTTGGTTCCCGAAACACCGGATATTATGCGTGCGTATGCGAACGTAGTAAGTCGTGGCTTAGTCACCTCACCCGACGAGTGCATCTTTGAGCTCAATGTCAGTAATCCCGTCTACCACCAGTGAACTACAACTGAAATTTGTTCGTCTGGAGCCTTACACGCATTTTGTTTGCCAAACGTCCGCTTCTTGTTACTTCATTGGGCGAAAAGCAAGCCGCATCCTCACGGGGTATCAAAGTTGAGGCCAGCGTTTAAGCATGAACTTTTAAGGAAACGCAATAAATTCGACCTCACTACTGCACAAAAGTTACTATGATGTCTTCCTCGTGTTATCATATATCTCCCACTCAAATTTTATACTGATAGAAGATTAACTTTCCGCAAACGCTGAGATCGGCTAGCTACGACGGAGGCCCTAACAAGCGTCCCCCCTACTCCTCGCTGAGCCTTTTGGACGAGCTTTTACTGACGGCCGAGATCTGTGCCGGGAACGGTGTGTCTGAAATTATCTCGTCATACTCAGGCAGGAAGAAAGCAAACACATAACAAATATTATGGCCATTAGCAACCGTCAAATGCGCTTTGAATTCGTTCGAGCACTTGTGTAAAGAATGTCGCACCGTGCGCCGGACGGGCATGAACCCCAATGCGGTGCGCATAGGGGTTCATGCCCGTCTGACGCACTTCCGGCGAACGGTGCGACATTCTTCACACAAGTGCTCGACTTTTGCATTCTTAAAACGGTCTGTATGCGCGAATTTGCCTATATGATTGCAGGATAACTTTATGCGCATACGCGATGTTGAATATTAGTGGAATGCAAGCGGGTGGGGACTTCACTTCGCGCAGTGCTGCGGGTCAGTACAGATAAGAGATAAGTGTGTTAAAATTGAGCTTTTCGATGGCACCTCCGAGTTTTACCTCGCATACTCAGGCACATTAAGAAAAACAGTAATTGCAAAAAGTAATATTTCGTCTATGGACGCACGAAGCAAACTTCCTGATCAACAACACTAATGTAAAGGCGCGAGCTCGATGTATGCATACTTATTGTGTGCTACAGCTTGTTGATTCGCACACAAGCAAGATCCCCGAGCACCCGAGCTTCGCAGCGTCGAGACTCCCAGCACTGGCTCGTCCACATACCTCGATTGGAACGCTAACAGGAAGGCTTAAGTACAAAAATACAGCAAGCATGTGTTAAGACAAGCTATACGTCTCGGGCTTGTGCTAAAGCTTCGAGGTCTGATCATTTAGGTTAGTTTAGAGACCATAAATGACGCTCTCGGGACCAGAAAACAATCTCTTGTCGACGTGTCGATCGAAACCGAAACCATGCCACCCTCCTCCCTGGCCAACTAGTTCCCAGAGTGCAACGCGCGCCGTGTTGCATGCAGGGCTTTATGGAAGTAGTCTATTCCAAGTGCACAAGTGCTCACCCATGGGTCAGGCCAAGGCGGGCAGAAAGTTCCTTCTCTAGCATGGCCGGGAAGTCTGGAGGGCTGACAGAGTCCGAACTCGAACCTGAAAGCACACGGGGAAGAGGGTTTGCCAATCATTAAGCGGAACAATATTCCACTTCATTTCTTGCTCCAAATATTTGCGCACCGTAAAAGAAACAGATGTTGAAAGAGTCTTTTCTCCCAGAACTATACAGAGGTATTAGTCATCTCCCTCTGCGCTACATATGAGAATTTTCTACACTGGGAAGGTCTCGGTGGAGATGACTAAACCTAATACATGTGTGTCGGGTTTAGTGACACTAAATATTCAGCAGCTCACCCGCTTGTTCACTCTTCTTTCAGTTGTTTCATTTGACTCTGTCTACTGAGGCTTTAGCAAACAGCGAAAATGGAGCAGTTTTTCTTAAATCGGCTTAGTAGAATACGCTCGCGTGTGCCCAAGACTAGAATAACTTAATATGGTCGAGCGAGAGTATCACATTCCTTTCTCTTTCACCGCCAACCCCTCACTGGTGGAGAAGAGGTCACACGCTCAAAAATGCTCTAAAGCACTGTGGCGAAGTGGCATTGCAAGGCGTGGCGCCTTGCAATGTCTTGTTTGCTTTGCATTTGCGACATGTCCATCTTGCACTGAAGTCTGGCCAGCAGGAAGCTTCCCAAACAGTTGAATGTTAAGTGTGCCGACTAGGCAGTGCGTAAATGAATTTTTTACAATCCGACTGCCAACGACTCCACTGGGCATGCACTACTGGAAAAGGAAGTTACTGCCAGCGCACCGCCGTGCCAACATTGACCAAGGTCGCTTTCCGCGATAAATGAATAAAAAAGAGAAGACCATATCAACGCTCTACATATGTCGCTCTACTTGGGACGCATATTTAGAAAACCTTGTGAAGCAGCCAATGATCCAATGTCAGCATGACTGGTGCATTTTCATAGACGTTGCATCGCCTGGTTTACGGGGGGAGGAAAGGGGAGGGAGAGGCCGGAGCTTAGGTAAACCCGCCTTGGTGATTCACATGCTAGTTCTTACCCGCTCCAAGATTTGCTTACCCTTATACACCTTCCCAAGAAACCCTTGGCCCCAGGGACAAGAGAACCTCTTTTAAGCCCATTCACTGAGTTTGAGGCTAGTTTCTCGCTGGCGTCCCTGCTAACCCTAACCGTATGGACTGCTGATTTTGATGGGTGCAATTTCAGACACTGCTGGCGGCTAAATTCTCGCCTTTTCCTGCTGTTTTCTGCGTTTCCTGGTGTATGTATTTTCCAGAACACATTGAGAAAGCATTGTACCATATTTCAAACAAAAAAAAAAAAACAGCTTGTAAACTATTTTTTGGAGGTGTGTGCGTAACAGAGCGAGTGTGACTGGAATATCGGTTTTATTTGACGAGTTTTAACGGTACTGCTCGCCAAGACGTGGCAATTAACAAAGCACTTGGCTGTAAAAGTAATTTACAACAGAATGTAGCCAAAAAGCATGAATATTTCAAGAGCATAAATACTAACGTGATTATGAATCGCACGATAGGACTCTGACATAAATTTTTACAGCGGTGCTGTCAAGGGCTAGTTTCTCCAGTATCGTGTCCACCGCAAAGAAATGAAGACAACGAACTCTGGACACCTACCGCCATCTATGAGCGATGGCGGCAAGGCACATATCTGGTTGTCGCCGTCGCTCATAGATGGTGGCAGCCTTTCCACTCTGGCAGAGCCGTTTATACTGAGAGAGTTCGGCCTTCTTAAGATTTTGACAGCCTGGCAACCACAGCAGCACACTCTGAAAACCGAAGGATGACTACTTCCGTCCGCCATTTTGTGGCTCTGACTCATAGCAACTCTATGCGATTTCACAGGAATAAACGAGACAAAGAAGTGACGCCATTTTGTGTTACTGCGAAATCCGCTGGTTCTAGCGGGCAACAAACTATGCCACTTGGCCAAACTCTCTCAGTATAAACAACTCTGCACTCTAGCTTGCCGACTTACAGCTGGCCATTACTTTCCATTGTACAGCCCCGCTGGTCTTCCTTCTTCACCAGAGTGGAAAGGCTGAAAGTTTTTAGCACGACTCAACATTCAAACAATGTATTGTATGTAGCACACGGTCCAGCATTATCCGGAAAAGATTTATTTGAGAAATATCTCAAATAACACAACACAACTGTGTCGACGACAGTCACATCTTGATGATTGAACAAAATTCAAGAGGACCTCATTTTAGGGCATGTTCTTGGGGACAGCTTCAGTTTTTCACAATACCAGCACCGAGGTAAAAGAACAGACGCAACTGGTTCGCTTCCCACCTCAACCCAAACAGCTATTTTTGGCGATGACTGAGAAGATCTCCACCCGGATTAGGTAACTCTGGAAGTGGGAAGAACAGTTGTCATTCTTCGCCAAATTGCGTCGAGGGGCATTCAACGTTGTTCCCTTCCTTCTCTTCCTGTGAATGTTGAGCAGAAACGCTTGAATGGCCATGCACTTACCAGCCCCATTTCTCACAGTGGAAGATAACACAAAAAGGGGAACGCAGCGTACACCAAAAATATAAAGTGGAAACTTTTAAGAGAGGCCGGAAAACTTGATATACAAAAACGGACAACACAGGCGGAGATTCGTGCTGAGCAGGTTTCAACAGTCCAAGAGAGTGGCAGAACATTTATAGCCAATACTGGGCCCGAGGATCGCACCAGCTCCATAATCATCAGCAACATGGCCGTGGCCTAGGAGCGTTTCTTGGAAAAGTGTATTGGGTAAGCTAATCTAAGAGCCTGCTGAAGGCTAGCGTAGAAATTACTGGGGCTTGTGTATTTACGCCTTAGACATCCATCCCCCTTTCACCCTCCCTCTCGTCCCTTAAACCAGACGATGCGACATGCATGAAATTGCGCCAATTCGAGAGCCGAAATGAGCCCACTGACTTACCTCACAAGCTTCACGAACAATATGCGCTCTTTATACTGCACCCATCACCACCTGGCAAGAGTTCCTCCCAAGCACTCACCGGTGGCGGAAGAGAGTGAGGCGTCGCGGGAGACCCCGGCGGCGATGGGGGGCAGTGGGGGCGGCGTGCGAGGCCTCCTGAGGGCCGAGGAGGTGGTCCTGCGCAGGCCCCTGCGGCGGGGAGCGCTGCGCTGGGCGATGCCTTTCGCCGGCCGCCCATCTGCCTCCGGCAATAGCTGGCGGTCCACGGACAGTCGGACATAGAAGGTGGCCGTCTCCTTCCGCGACGACGGGCGCAGTAGGCAATCCACCAGGCCCCGCTTGTTCGGCTCCTGAAGCAAGGGGAGCCATCAATGGGGGGGGCAAATGGAAGGCGCCTCTGACTGGCGAGTCTACTGTGTCCTAAAAAGCGGTTCCTCGATTTCCACCCGACAACGTCAGAGAAATGTCATGCTATCACTGGCTGCGACCCCGACGGTGTTACAGAACCGGCGGTGGATGTGACAGACGCCTGCTCCGCTGCAGGTCGCTCTCCAGCTTGCCGGCCCAAGGAAGCTTCGGCGGCCGGGAGTTGGGATGCAGCGATGACGGCGACACTCGCGCTCGTTCATAGTTTTTGACGGGACCTCTAGCACCGTCTGCGAAAATCGTGACGTCCAACAGCACGAGATGCCGGCTTGTACGACGTCATTTTTTGCATGTTTGGGACCCTTTTCGATGTGCGGGTGGGATGGGATGCTAAACACACCGGTCAAACACACGTCTGAAGCACTGTACCTATACTGCCCATGCACAGGAAGTGAGCCCAAACTGGTAAAAACTTTATGTTACGGGAGCCGGTCTTTGCTCATACCTTCCGGCAAAAATTACGAGCAAAGGTGAGTGTCAAGTGTTGGAACGCAACGTTTTGCTCAATCAAGGAGAAAACGGCGGCACCTTTGAAAAGGTTGACACACGAAAATCTGCATTACTATTTTCAGCCACGGCAAATTCATTTTCTCAACTATGTATAGTTAGGGGACTAAAGTATGTTGAAGGGAATAACAGTTAATTTGCGACAGTGTAAAAATTAAACGACTTCTTTGTAACCAGTCTCATTTTTTAATACACACTTTCCGCGGGTGCGTACATTCGTGAACACGAGCAAACTCGTCAGAAGAAAGCTGACTGCAAAAGAAGGACTGCAAGTCTCCGGCACCGACGTGAATAAGTACCAACCACCGTATCGGGTCACACTTTATGACAACGGCAAAACCGAAAACACTGGGCCAAAGGAGGGAGTGAAAACCCAACCCTGACAAAGCGGGGTGTCTCCCCACCTGCTGCAAGTGGACGCCAATCTCAGCAGCGCTGTGGACGTCCTTCCTCAGCCGGACCAGGTTGAGGTGCGAGGAGAGCTCTAGGCGGATGTCACTCCGTGTCAGCCGGCTGTTGCGACCCGGCAGTCCGGGTTCTGACGTCCCCGCACTCTCGGACTCCTGTGCTCCGTCGACGCATTGTATCGTATCATATTAAATCGCGTCGCGTCACCGTGCCTGTCAAGCTCACCATGTACACTGCGCGACACTGCAAAGGCTGGTTCATACTCCTGCGACTGCTTATGACCAAGTGTCTTAAAGCTCTTGGGATCTCTTACCACGAGAGATCACGCTGGAGCATCAGGTGGCCGTGCATCTGCATACATTTTCATACATTTCCCATCTTTTTTGGCGCATCGTTCTTTCTTTCTTGGCTCGAAAAGCTTTTGACAATGTTATAAGCAACTATTTCTCCTAGAAAGTAAGCACATTTGAACTCCCAGGTATCACAAAGCCTCCGCCCTAGTGAAATACAGTTCCAAGGCCATCTCATTGATGACGCCAGCTTGCCAATGTGTTCTACCGTCGTAGGAGATCACGAGAACTTGGTCGTAAGCGAACGCAAGTGTGAATGGGTTTTAGTGCGAACAAGCCATCGGTGGTTCTTTCTGTATTGCCTTTAGTTTTTTTGTTTTTAGATTAACGTTCGGCCTATAATTGCAACCAAAGCAGGCTAACCTAGAATATTATGCAATATTTGCGAGCCCATCGAACCAACAGAGATGTCCTGGCAAGTCAACTGTTTCCCCAAAAACGCTGGTGCAAGGCAATGAAGCTTGAAACGGAAGCGTTGGTGCAAAACAATAAAGCTTGGTGTGGAAGATCTGAGAATTCCGAAAGCATTATTCTAAGCGTGTGCGAATAGCGGATTTTAAGTTTGATGCAAATTCAAGCAAATATTGCTTTTTGCTGAAGATTTTCGAATAGAATATTGAATAGTTTCACTACTGTGCACAATGCTTAAACAAAAATCCAGCTGAACTCATGAAAGTTGTTCCCAACCTCCCACTTGTCCACTTCTAAGCTCAGTTAATCTTAATATAACTATATGTATCCGCTTCTGCATGTAAATGACAAATTTTTTGCAGCTATCCTAATCAAGGGGATTTATAAATCTGTTTGCTATATGCAAATATCCTTTCTTCACTTAAAAAATTGACCAAAAAAAAATTTAACAAGCATGAAGGATGAATGCGGCTTGTCAAGACATTGTTGCCTAACATACATATACTCTTGCATAAAGCGCGAAACACACATACGACGAAACCTTCCGATCCGACGTGCGGACTGCCGGAATGACCTTGGGGGGCGAGGGTTTTCGAGGCATCAGAGAGTGTTGAAAACCCTCGCCTCCGACCGTCGTATTGCGTGGTCGGACGTCGGATCGGACGGCTAATGTACATGTGTTTCGCGCTTAATCGCGCGGAGGGTTGGCCCCACTGAGTGCACTTCTCATCAAGCACCTGCGCTCTGCGGGAAAGAAATACACGCGAAGCTCTTGAGTTTTATGGATATTACTTCACTGCAGTGCACAGATGCTCGGTGAAAAGCGCACTCAACGGAACTAACCTGCCGCAATCAACACTTTGAAAAGTATGAATACCGCAGTCCATCTTGGAGCGAACATCGAATAGCATATTATTCGAAACCACTATTCGAAACTTCCGAGTATTTGCACTACACTACATTATTTGTAATTTTTCGAATATTCAAAAATCTCTAATATCAGTGAGGGAAGCGGCATTTGACATTTTGGAGCAGGTTCTGTAGCAGGCAAAACATTGGTTTGAAGCAGGCACTGACGCTTTTGGAGCAGGTGCCAAAATCTTTTACCATATCACTTGAAGATTAAAAAAAATTGATTGCGTCGTTAAATGAGTTCATATTTGATAATGACTTAGAACTCCTCTCTGTTACTGGAGCATATTACTTATTACCTTTTCTAACAGCAGCAGAAAGGGTGCAAAAAAGTGCGAGCGTGACGAAAACCCCGAGACTGCAGGTAAAAACAACACATACACTAAAAGATCCTTTTAGCGTATGTGTCATATTTTTCCCCTTTTAGTGTATGTGTTATTTTTACCCTCAGACTCCATTCTTTTTCATGCTTAATACTCACCAGCTCGTTTGCACCCTTACGTTCAGCCCATTAACATGGAGCATTCTTTTTTAGAAACAAGGCTCTAATCAAGGTAAATTCCATTTACAATAAATTAAAAAAAATTATTGAAAAATAAATCATAGAGCAAAGCTTTAGTTGGGATAAAGCCTCACTCCCCTCCCCTTGTATACTCGGTGGTTTATTTAGAAAATAAATATAACTTCCATAAAGCGCCATCAAAAACAAGCATATTCGCTATTCTCGGCACAGCATTTATAAAATTACATCTACAATCAAGATCAAGGAAAGTAGACCAGTAATAGTAGCGAGCATAATTTCCGAGCCTATCACGCTAACCCAGGCGCTCCCATGTCAGCCGCTGCTCCTAGCACTCCGGTGCAAAGCGGTGAAGCTTGACGCGTGCACTCTGGTGAGAGGCGGTAAAGGTAGACGCAAGCGGTAAAAGTGCCACGGTACTCTGTAGCCACGGCACGAAGGCATGTGGCGGTCATGATAATCATGTCTCCAAATGCCTTTGTGTCTTAATACAGTATCTGCCATCCTACTATTTTGCAAAGTTTTCTCACAACTTTTAGCTCCTGGCATCGCCTGGAAATATAGACGACGTCGGCGATCAACCGGGCAGCGCATCAACGGACCTCGGCAATCAACCGACGCAGCCAATGTGCGACGGAAAACAATGAGCACGTGCTTGAGGCCAATCGTCGGAAAGCATGGAGATAAGAAGTTTCTGGAGGCAACATGACGCCCCCAGAGGTGAAGCCAGGATATGGAGGGACACGCCCCCAACGACGACCAAACCAAGAGATGCTATTGGACGAAAAGGAGAGCTGACTTGGACAGCTGTTTTGTCCCCTCGGGCATGCGTGAGGGTGACCAAAACAGCTATTCGCGCTAAGTCTGCTCTCCTTCTCATCCAATAGCATCGCTTGGCTTTGGTCATCGTTAGGGCCATGTCCCTCCACACCTCTGGCTTTCCCTCCGGTGGCGCCATGTCGCCTCCAGAAACTTTCTACCTCCATGTCGGAAAGAGACACTCCGTCGTTCCCATCCCGTTGGCGACAGTAGCTGCGACGAGCAAAAACAGAGGAGGAGGAGCAAGGAAGGCACCTGGTGGGCATAGACGTCGTCCGTGTCGGGAACCACATCGGGCGGTGGCCTCCCCTCTTCCTCGAGCACGTCGTAGATGGGCTCGTACAGGTGCTCGTAGGTCGTGGACGACGAACTGCTGTCCCCTGTGTCAACCTGGTTAAGCGGTAATATGTTACGCCATGTTAATGTCTTTTGGGAGCGAGGGCGCACCAAGAAAGGTTCGGTCAATTCAAAGGAAACGAGCGAGCTGGGCGATTGTTTGTCTCGAGAAAAAGCATTGAGTTGTTGTCGCCGAGAGCGAGTCTCGTCGACCGCCTGAATTTGAAATGTTTCTCCCGATGTATTCTTTACTCTAGTAGGAATTAACTGTTACATTGCACTTTACCTTCCCCCAAGACTGACGATTGCAAGCTGAAATTTTTTACAATGGTCAGTAGCATATGTCACCCTAAGCAATCAATAGGTTGGTTTAGGCTTCTCATCTTAAAAAACTTCATACAAGTATAAACAAGGAAACAAAAAATGAAACAAAAAATTTACTAACTTACATCCTACTTAATTTAGTGGTGAGTCACATCGTGGTGGCACCAACCATTTGATTGCTGTAAGTATATTCTACATAAGACAACTTTTGTAAGGTATGACAAAAGTGCTCCGCTTTAAATCCTGCCTTAGCAAATCTCGTAGTACGTTGAATATGTTCTTGTCCTACGGATGCAAGTGTGGCGTCCTGAAAGTCTTTGGTCACATAAGGAGCACTCGGTGTTACTTGCGGTGTGGGGTTACGTCTTGTTAAATTTAATGGGACAAAAGCCCACTAAATTTATCGGGCAATTTAGTGGTAGGCAAGCCCACTAAATTTCACTGGTGAATATATGTTTTGTCGTCACAGTTCTGCAGGAGGGCCAGCCTAACAAAATACACTACTATGTTACAAAAAAAAAAAAGAAGGAACACAGCTTTATAGAAAAGCACGTAATGTTTCGCTCCTTCAGTGATAAATGCAACCTGCTTCACTAAGGCACAACATTCGTCGACATGTGGTGGTCATCTTCGAGCCATGGGCAACGCTTGTTTGACGTTAGGAGTTGGCAGGCACAACAGCCAATGGTATGCGACTGTACCAGCCTGCCCCTCTCAAGTCAGGAAGAGAGCCCTTATAAAATCAGAGAGAGTGTTGTAGGCAGGGCCACTAACTGTTAGGAACTGTCCCAGAAAGGGCAGCCTCAGAGAGAGAGCTCTTACCAGCTCCCAAGCCATCTCTTCATGGGCCCTGTCCGGAGGAAGAGAAGCCAAGCCTCGCAGAGTGTGGGTCCAGTGATGCTGCCCTTCCTGCATGCTGTAAGGCCACTGCGTCAGCTCACCATCCCAACCCACACAACCACTGGCACACTGCCTTATTTTCACCCTCCTCTAAGCTCGGAGCAATTATGTGCTTCATTGCAGCAGCTCGGCAAAAGCGTCTCAGATATCAAAGAGCAACAAACGTTTAGAACAAGTTTTATGACTGCTGACCTGATGAGACCATTCCATCTTCTGTCCTTTGAGGCGAGTGAAAAGAGCGTATGTAGCAGTAGTAGTGTCGCTAGAGGGGCACCAGAAAGCCGTATAGGCACTTTTAGGCAGCTGTGCATGGGTGCTGTTATGACTGACCTCCACTTGTTATTTTCACTTATTCGATTCGCTTTACTTCCTCACAAAGGTAGCATGACAAGTTAGTGTCATCCTAAAGGCACAGTGTACTCCAATGCAGTCCTTTGTACAGACTCAGCAACGCCCGTTTCAATGGCTCAATATCTCGGCAAGAAAAGAGGAGGTCAGCATTGGTGATTCTGCTCAGACGTGTGCTGAAAGCGTCTGTAACGTACAAATCGTGCTGTAGTAGAGTGGAATCTCATGAATTCATACTCTTTTAATTCATTGCTGTCACTTCAAAAAAGCTTGTTTTACCATTACAATTTTTAAGATACCTCTGGCAGTCATTACCGTGAAATGCAAAAGCAGTCTCACCAACTGTCGACTTTGCTGCCGTCATTATCGTTGCTAGCGGATGAGCCATCCGTGGTGGTTTCTGCAAAGAATCATTCAAACAATTTCCGACCTGTCAAAAGAAAAATGCTCCACTCATGGGCATAGGAGCAACATCTGTGTAGTAGTTCGACATGTTTGCCAGCATAGCCTTGAACAGAGGTGCTCCCCACAACAGAAGCAAGCAATGCCCTTCTACCGAGGTGCTCCCCAATAGCGTGCCTCAATGTTCTTCTGTTTTGGGTGATGCCACTCCTTACAGTACCCGATGCGGACAGCACATGCTCGCAGGAAAATTACAAAAAAAACAGAAAAAACAAAATGCTGTCGTAGAACAGTCAGTGCTAAGAGCTTTTGCCGGGAAATGCCCTTTCACGCATTCTAGAGAAAGAAAAAATATCACAGATCAAACTGGTCTAATGTCACCACCCTAAGATGTGCATACATGTAGCCACACCACTCCCCACCCCCTTGCCTGGCTTAGCAAGGCTGAGGTGAAGTTGTAATGAGGCTACCCAGGGATTGCTTATGATGCAATAGCATCTAATGGGAAAAGCTTTGTGCCAGTAGCTCCAGAAAGTGACACGAACGTCGAAACAGTACAAGTTCCATTTGACTGCTTCTGCACATGTTGTAAAAGTACTCAAGTGCCTATACATTGTTGTGTGGCTTTCTAAAGTGATTCAAGCAGTTTATAAGTTCCAGCAGACACTTCATTTACATCAATACACTTTCAATGACTTCAATTTCGCCACAAAGATCTAATTTATGTGAATTATGCAAATCAACTTCTATGCATTATATGCATACAAATCGAGCAAAATGTCAACATTTCTGGAATGTTTGCTATTCGATTCAATTTACAGCACACATTTACTGTACAAAGTAGTCAAGCTTTTCAAATAGTAAAAAGATTATGAATAATGTCTTCAGAATAATTTGACCTCTTGCATCAAACTTCACCAATTGCCACCAGTGTTCTGGCATCAAGCTTCACTGCTTCTCACCAGCATGTGAGCATCACTATTCCCTGCTTTGCACCAGCGTGTTAGGAGAAGAGATGACCTGTCGGAGCTCCTCAGTTGGCTCGATTGTCTCCGCAGACTATCTACAGGTGAAAACTATACAAGGATTTGTTTTTTTTCTAGATCGTTCACCGTGACAAGTCATGAAGGATTTTATGAGTAACGGACTATATGTATTAATGTCGATCTATCTACGATAAAGCTTGTGTATGAGCTAATACAGTAGGCATTTGTCAAGGTGTGCTGTGTATGATACTTTTTACGTTTGGACTAGGCACTAAGTGGTGGCTATGCACGGGGTGCAGGTTATGTACCGGGTGCGGACTATCCAAGCAAATACTTTTATTTTTGACCCCAAATTTGCCCCTGCGGACTATGCACCAGGTGCAGACTATTGTCTTGAAAATATGGTAGGCCAGCCTTCCTTGGTAATAGTTACAGTCTAATCCCCGATGTGAAAGGAAAGTGTGGGAAATTAAAACTTTAAACTTTATCTAAATAAATGCCAACTCATGCTTTCCTTGGCTGTTACACTCCTCTTAAAAGGATTGTGTCCGTCAGCGAACAAATGATGACACAGAGCTCTGGACGGCTACCGCCGTCGCTCATAGATGGTGGCAACCTTTCGAGCCTTTCCACTCTGGCTTGCCGACTTGCGGCCAGCCATTACTTCATTCCCCCATAGTACAGCTTCGCAGGTCTTCCTTTTTCACCAGAGTGGAAAGGCTTTTTTTTTAGATAATGTTTTTTAAATATCAAAAGTGTTCCTTTTCATAGGCACGCTTTCTAAAGACATCTAACCATGGTTTGAAGGTAAACATCTTTGACAGACGTCTGTCTGGTTGGGAAGTGATAATAGAAAAATATTTGACTCCAACCAAAAATTACTCGGACCCAACGTTTCAAAACCAGTTCGGTTTCTTCTTCAGGGGCGATTGATCTCGTGCGTGGGAGCAACCTCGTCTTCTTTGGTGGTACGAATATCTTCTAAATGCGCTTCCGCCTTGCCATCCAGTGTTTTTCTAATCACGTGCCGTAGTCCACAGATGGTAAGGTACCCATAGATCTGTTGATATTTCCTGGTGTATTTTGGATGTGCCATAATTCAAGGTGATGTCTTTTTCAGGGATTGGTTTCAACATCAAGAACAGACGCGTTCGCGAAGTCTATCGGATGGTCAAAGGTGTCACTGTGCTCCGCAAGAGCACTGCGTTCTCAGTCGAATTTGCGTACATCGTTCTTGTGCTGGCGTAACCTTTCTGTAAAGTTCTTTGTTTTGCCAATATAAGATGCAGGACATTTTAAGCAGGGGATCCGGTAAACAATTCCCGGTGCTTTTTCCTTCCGGGGGGCGATCTTTTGGTCGGGGCATGAATCGTCCGAGAGTGGATACCGGTTTGTGAGCCACGTGAATGCCTTGTTTTGCGAGCACCCGTGATAGTGCTTCACTAGTACCTTGAACGTAGGGAACGCTGATGCGCGTGATGGGGCGATGCGGCGCAGCTCCCTTTGGTTGTGGGTTTTGGCAAGCGTGAACCGTACGTTTAGTGACTTGTTGGATGAACCTTGTGGGGTAGCCATTCTTTTTCAGATCAGTAATCACACTCTGCTCCTCGCTTTTTCTGTCAGTTTCTGAAGAACAGATAACAGCCGCCCTAGACATGAGTGTTGCAACGACTGATGCCTTGTGACTCGTTGGATGGTTCGACTTAAAATTAAGGTAGTGTCCGGTGTGAGTGGGCTTCCGGTATACCGAAAACTTCATCTCCTCCCCTTGCCTCTTCACCAGTACATCAAGGAATGGTAAAGTGTTGTCTTTTTCCCGTTCCACGGTGAACTGGACGTCGGGCTCGATGGAGTTGAGGTAAGCCAGGAACTTATCAACTTCTGATGTTTTCAATATAAAAAAGAGTCGTCCAGATAACGCATGAACACCTCAGGTCTGTTGGTAAAGGACTGTAGCGCTCTTTGTTCTCTGCTTTCCATTGTCAAATTTGCAGTGGTGACAGATATGAATGCACCCATCGCAGTTCCGCTGGTTTGTTTGTAAAAGACCCTTTAAAGCAAACGTAGGTGCTGCGGAGACAGAAATCAAGAAGGCGGCACAGCTCGTCCACGCTGAGGCTGGTTCTGGTGCTGAGTTTGGAATCTGATTCGAGAACCGCTTTGGCTGAGCAGACTGCCAGGGGTACTGAAACGCTGGTAAAGAGGGACACGACATCGAACGACACCATGCTGTGTTCCCTGTTGACCTTCACTTCCAACATGCATTTAACGAAGTCACCGGCATTGCGGACATAGGTGGATGTTGTTCCAGTGAGAGGCGAAATTGGCACACCTTGACAAATGTCTGCTTTCTTAGCTCACAAAGAAGCTTGTATTATACACAAATAATTATTAGAATACTCTTTTATTCACAAGATCCGTCACGTCTCGTCATAATGAACAATCTTGAACAACACAATTCCTGTATAGTCCGCACGCGTAGAAAGTCCGCACAGCCTAAAATTTCAACTTTTAAAAATGTATTGTTCACGAACTATAGCCCAGAAAATACGCTATACATATTTAAATATATTCAAATTAAATTTCCAGTCATGTTTCAATAATCATAATCGATTCGCGACCAAAAATTTGATATTCGCCCAACTCTACACATTGTAACATGTTGTTTAACAGTTTCTCGCTCAGGTCCTAACCCTCCAGCTCCACGATCCTTCTCCTGGTTCCAGCTTTTGCTGCACCTACCCTTTTGTCAGTTCCACTTGAAACCGGCTTGTGCAGCAGCGATAGGGACATAGCTCTGCCCCTCCACTGCCTCACCCTGCTTTTAGTGACCGACAAGATGACAATGGCAGAAGGGTCTTTTAGCTGTTCCATCTCCAGCGTGGGCACCCTACCTTCAGTAACACTTGAACGTCTCGTCAGCCTTAAGCGTGCGCATGCAACTAAAAATATGGCAGAAAACACAGAGCACTTGCTGGAGGCATGGAATTCGAAAGAGACAACCTATCGTTTTCAGCCCGTTTGCGACCATACCGACCACTACAGCTCGGCATTTTGGGTAGAATGCCAAGGGTACAAAAGAGCTCCCAGAAAGGGCTTTTTGTGACTCACCTGGTTTGCTCGACGCCCCAACATGGTTCGTCGCCGGGCGGCCAGCAATGGACTCCCAAAGTGAGGAGTAGTTTCCAGTGCCCGCTAGAGCGGAGGAAGACCGGGTCTTGCCGGGCAGCATGACAGCGTCGGACAGCTCGTCGCACGAACCGTTGACGGGAGCCCGCGTCGTCTGCTGCAACGTCCATAGGAACGACTGGTTGGGACGTACAGCGCCGGTTGCTGGCGCTGACTCGGCAGACCGCTTGCTCCACTGCTCGTCCTCGTTTGTGGGCTGTTCCTTGTGCACGGTGGAGACGACATTCGAATACAAAGCAAGAACTGCAGACGACACATGGGAAGAGTGGAAGGGCTCGAGGTCCTCCACGTCCAGCATGTCCCTGACAGAAGGGCTCGTACCTGACGATGAAGATGAAGAGGGCAGTGTCGCGGGGCGAGCAGTGGGCAACGGTGGCCTCTGCACAGACCGCTTAGACGACAATTCTTGGACAGCGGAATTCGAAGGAGCCGGCTTTAGTTTTACAGATTCCAGATAGGAACTTGAAAAGCTGAGCTTGCCGCTTTTCTCCAACGCGGCTTGGCTTCGAGCTTCCAGGTTTAGCACGGCCAGCTGAACTGCACTCAATTTCTTCTCGTTTCCCTCGCAGCTGGGAGACGGGGAGGTCCACGACGGGTGGGCTGCACCGCCGTCCGTCGTGGCCTCCAAGCGACTCGTGGAGGGCCGCTCGACGACGGCGGACGCGTGACTCTCTGCAACTGACTCACGAGTTCTCGAGTAGGACGTGTGACCAATCAGGGAACTGCTTCGTCTGACCAAGGCCCGCGGCAGATCGCTCGACCTATCACCAGGGGGCGACGGCGTCCGACGAGACTTACCAATGATGCGGCACGGCTTCCGCACGACGCCGTTGATGGGAATGTTTAGTCGCTTTCTGAATGTCGCCTTCGCATCTTGGAAGGTTTCGAGGGGAAGCGAGCGATTGCAGAAGGCACCTCTCTGTAAATGGGCCTGGTTGCCCTCCCGCGTATCACCTAGGAGGAGGTTCTCGAAACTCATTGCGAGTGACGCCACTTTGGAAGTCCCCGCCTGGCACTCGCGTAGAGCGCAGTCAGCAGAGGACGGTGGCGAGGTCACGTCTGTCTCTGTCTGCGTAACGGGTATCGCGCACGACGGTCTCGTAGTTACGCAGCTATTTTCGGAGGGTTTTCCGGGCAGACGGTCCTCCGCAGGCGACGTGGAACTGGAATGCTCGGTGTTCTTTGACTCCGCGACCGACAAAGTGCCCGAAGGAAGCTTGCTGGAAAAGCTATGAGAGCGAAGATACGGCCTGTTCATAAGTTTGACGCGGTCTGTCGTCACCAGACGCTCCTCTGAGCCGGTGCCACAAGACTGTAAAACCGCGATGCCTTTCGGACGAATGGCTCTTGCCTTTGGGCTGTTGACGACAACGCACTGGGTTTGTTCCGAGGACACGGGGTGCCGCCGTTCGCGTCCTGCTATGGTGACATCCGAACGCGAGACGGTTCCAGACAATGCGCTGCTCGGGCCAACGATGCTCCGGTCGCGCACCGGACTGCAGCCGGGCTTTGCTCTGTGCGTGTCATTCCTCGGGTGGCTGTTCATGAGGCGCCTGGCCGCCATCTTGGCGGACTTGAACTCGCCCATGGCGGTTCCCCTGGCCACGTGCGCCTCGGAGCCGCAATCCACTCCCTGTCCCGGTGGTCCCTCGAAGCGGTCCTTGATGCGTGCCCACTTGGGGGACCCCGACAAGGGCCCCACGGAGAGGGCCTCGGGGCCGCCGTCTGCCCTGCGTGCCGCCACGGGGATGCGGGACTCCGTGCGGCAGCCGCTCATGTTGTGGTCCCCCGTCTGCAAGAGAGGGAGCTTGTTCCGCCAAGGTCACCCCGACCACCAGCATGGTGGCACGGAGAATTGTGACTTAATAACTACAGTGCCTGGAAGGCGTATTCAACTGCATTGTCTACCGTCCTATCTCGCCCACGCATTGAAAGTGAACCCTAAGTGGCAACAAATTGTGTCGCAGGAGCCGGTGCGCCATGCTGTTAGACGCTGCGATCCTAACTGCTGGTTGCAGAAATGCTGGCGAGAAAGACTGTCGTCGCAGTGTCCCAACTAATGTCTGCTTTGGTTTCCACCGACAGTCTGGTTGCAGAGCGACCTACAGTAGAACAGGTGTCTACCTCATCCACCTCTGCTGCTGTGCCACCGCCAAGATAAGGACAGGCAACAACATGACACATTTATGATATGAGGCTCAAAGGAAGGAGTCATGCTTTTGGTATGTAGTTTCTAAGATAGGTGGCGCAAGCTACTGCACGATTTAAAGGGCACAGCCATTGGTATATCCTCCATTCATTATTAAGCAAAAATCGGGGGGTCACCTCGAGGACGTGGTAAACACACCAATCAACGCGTTTTAGGCACCATAACGACAAGTATCTACAGCTCTGAGTGGAGAGTGATATTAGCCTAGCATACTTGAGTCTATTAATTGTGCCACTGATCAACACCCTTGCAATATTATTTGGACTGCAGCACTCTCTCTCAATGGCCATGAATGCCGATAACGCTGAATGCAGAGGTGCCACAAGAGAGATATGGAGAGACCCTTGGCAAGTAGGCTCTCTCATGAGCGGCCACTGCAGGGGATTACACTCGCCATCGTGTGGTTGCATGCAGCACTGACCCCGTTGTATCAGTAATGTGCTCAATGCCTCTTGTAATATTCAGTAATTATTTACTACCTGCATAGGGTACTGGCCACAACTGGGCAAATGCTTCCCACAACAAAGAACATTAAAAAAAAAAGATTAATTAAGGTTGCAGTGTACACAACGATGGAGAAGGCGGAGTAAAATTGGAAGGGGTCGACCCAACTGCAGCATAGAGAATTCCAATAAAATTAACTTTCTGCGCGGCGGCACTAATTAGTGAAACGTCGGTATAATAAACATCATCTGCACCCATTTTCACCTCAAGAAAAAAAGCATGTTTTGTGTATTGTTCATAAGGGATGTGATGTAGTTCCTACGAGATTTGATTGTCCGAGGAAAAAGTTAAAGCTTCTAGCGCTTGGAGCCTGTGCGTCTATAGATAAGATAACATATATATCTAATCTAAAATTCACCTAAATATATCTTTATTGTCCAGATAAACGGGGTAAATTAGTAATGTTCAGCTAGGAGCCAGACTTTTTTCACTATGGTTCTTGAGGTGAAAATACATCGTAAGGTTACACTTGCTTGTGTAAACTTGCACAATATCTTCAGTGCCACTGCTGTTCAGTATGCCACATATGTCAAGCTTGACATACAGCACGGTTTAGCCCAGTTGGCCCAGCCGCGATGGAACGGCGGGAAAGGGGCAAGGCCCTCCCCCTCCCATAACAATCCTCCATTCCCAACTTCCCTCGAATATTTCGGACGCCACTGGGCACCCTTGGACCATCTAGAACTTCAATTTTGACACCGCACTCTTTCACCGAAAAAAGTACAAAAAGTTTGCATGCCTGTTTGTCTTGTTCCTTGTCCTCGTTTTTTTTTTTTCTAAGCGCGCTGTCAAGATATCCCCAAGAAATTTACAAAAGAAATTCACATTAGCAGCAAACTTGCACCGAACTCGATCCGCACGGAAGATATGTTAGATAAATTATTTCCTTATGTAGTACCGCAGTCGCTTTGTCCTTTGCCTCGACAGCGGCACGTCGGCACGTTATCAGTGGGAGGAGAGTGTCTGATAGAGGTTTAGTGGCTATGCACCGGCAGAGTACACTTGTAAAAAGTTAAACCCCGAAAGCGAAAGCAGCGCTCGCCAAAAACCTACTCGCACGAGCGAGCACGTCAACCAAGAACCGCTCACAATATTGACGTTTTATGTTGCCGTCGTCGTCGCGCACTAACCCCGAGAAACAGGAGGTCCAAGCTGTTACCGGAACTCGCATTTGCTCGGTTCCGACCGCTGCCCGCTTTTCCGTTCCGTCTCTCTTCCTTCGTCAGGGCTCGAGCAATCGGCGAATCCGGTCTCCGGCGTCCTTGGGCAACAGCCGAACTACACCCGAGCAGCGAGCGGCCAAGCTTCCCAGAGCTCGTCCCACGCAGTGCAGGAGCAATGGCATTCAGAACGGCCGAAAACCCGCTGGCGCGCGGAACCGAGCCGAACGCACTCCCAGGAATGCAGTATGACTCATCCACAATCAATAACAGAGCGGCCTCCGAAGCCCAGGTGGACGCTGACCGGCTCGCGACCACGACAACACACGCTACCCGAGTCGTCCACTATGTCAGCGAAAGATACTACCGCCCGCGCTGTTTAGAACTCGCCATAGGCACACAACGAAGTCGGTGAAGAAAAAGGGCGCCCAACCACGGCTTCTAGATAAGCACTCACTCGCACTTGTTGTCGGTCTTTGGTGTATCCAACATGATGGCTCGATATCCCACTCACGACTCGTTCACCTCATCACTGGCTCCTACTGCTACAATGCCCGAGGCGCACAAGTTGGAACTCCACACGGGGAGAATAAGACCGTTACAATTTGACGATCGACATAATATAATAATAGGACAATCCACTGGATTCATAATCTTCGCAATTTCTCCGGATAACCAGCGACGACGCACGACGCAACGACCCTGGCTACAACCGGCCCCCACACCAGCCGACCAACCGTGTCGACGAACCTGACGAATTCGACGAACCTTTGGCATGTTCGAAATCCGCGAAACCTTCTTGCAAACCTTGCAAACGAACCGAGAGTAGTGCCGATGGTGCCGATAGTGCCGATCGTTTAGATTCGGTTTCGGTTCTGTCTGGGCAGTTCGTTCGGATAGACGCGCCGGCTAGTCTGAGCGCTCTGAGACGCGGAAGTCACGGAAGCGCACAACATCGAATAAGAAAAGTGTGACGGAAGCGTGCCAAGTATAAACCGTATAAACATGGCATCCGCCGTAAAATTAATGAAGTTAATGCAGGCGAGCTGGTTGAGTACTGACAGTTTTTAACCCTGAACAGTGGGAAACAGAAGGGCAGAACAACACGAATCTCAACGAAAGAGGGACATGGAAGACAAACAGACCACACTGACTTTCGACTTGCAAGTTGTTTTGCAAATCGAAAGTCTGGTAGAGCGCTCTACTGGAAATGGAGAGGTCCCGGGTTCGATGCCCGGACCACGCAGATTTTTTCGGTTGCGCACCAGTCGCCTGGCTGTGTTTTGGAGATCTGTGTTTGTCCTTTGAACACCCTTGTTCTCCTTCTCCAGGGATTATATTCGTCATCTGTGTTGTCTGTCGGTCTTCCGTGTCCCTTTTCCGTTGTCGGATATTAGAAACCAACACGCTCAACCGACTTGGACTACATACGAATCTCCAGCTCGTGTTGTCCTGTCTCTTCATTTCCCCACTTTCCAAAGTTAAAAAAAAAAAAAATGCTGTAAAAATTTTTTTTTTTTTTTCATCAGCGGAATCAATTTATTTGACATCCTCCGTCAAAATAGTCTTCCCATTATTTTAATGTCCCTGCTTAAATTTTCGTCGACTTGCCAGCTGCCGGGCGACGGGGGCGTCACCTCACCGCCCAGAATGAATGAAATGTCGTAATCTGACTTTGTCAAAAAATCTTCCGCTAATCTTGAAAAAAAAAAAAAAAAAAAGAACTGGTTTTTGGTTTACTCGTTTCATCGTAACACCACTGGCCAAACTCTGGCTAGTGAGGCAAACTCAAATTAATTTTTTTTTTTTTTTTTTTTTTTGTAGTTTGCTGCACTGCGGCGACTACCGACGAGTCATCAAGTTCGGAACACATCCAACGCTGTTACCAGCTGTTGCGAGTCTAACTGGTTGGTTGCATCACCCCAAGGCCATCACCTGTAGTGCCTGCCCGCCAACTGCACGCCACGGTGCCAGCGTGTGGCGTGCACTACGTCAGCGACTCGAAGACTCGGCTGACTCGGCTCGGCTCGGCTAGCCTGGCCAGACCCGGCGGCGTTGGTTTCACTCGTTTCCAAGTGACGTCGGTGACGTAGTAATGACGCATTTTTCAGGGTCGGGAGATGGCGCTTCGCGTATCGATTGTTCGGGCGCAGAAGGCGAAGACGAAAAGCTGCCGTGGTCCACTGTGCTAGCGGCCCAGATAGTTTCTGCCCGTTAAAATTGGGTCCGTCGGACGGTCCGCCGGAGTTCCCCACGCAGCCGCGGCTAACGCCGTCTCCAGTCGTCTTCGGCCGCGCCTGCTTGCCGGCTTCCCATTCAAGTGACGTAACGCCACCCCACCTATGAGGCAGTGATAGCAGTCCGAGCCACCGAGCCGCCGCCAAGATGCTTATAAAGGAGTTGTGAGTATCCTGCGGGGTCCCCAGGCCCCTTTCAATCGCGCTCAAGGGGCCTCCGTGCTCCATTGGCGCCGGAGAGCCGATTTGCCGGCACAGCGGTGCCGAGGTCCTAGCCCTGCGTCAGGCCGGCTGCGGGTACGGCCCCTACAAGCCTACGCGGGGCCGGCGTTCGCGGCCCGCTTATATATTTGTTCCTTTCTCCCGTTTCTGTGCAGCCGCGTCGTCCTGCCCATCACGGTCGAAGAGGTGAGTGGCTTCGAGATGAATCGCCGGCCGCCGACTCGCACTGCCCCACGTGCATTGGTGTGAAGGAGATGACTCTCCACCAACTTCAGTACCGAGGCGGAAGCCGCCCTGGCTTCGCAGCTGGGGCATAGAACACGCTCACGGGACCGCCGTTCGCGCCAGATGAGTGGCGTCTCGATTTCACCATCGAATCGTGGGGCGGCTGATGCTGCAACTCCGACCGAATGCGGGGGGCCGCCAACTGGCCGTCGTTGGCTCACTCACGGATACCCTCTCCTTGGTCGCCAGTTTTATGACTAAACTGTCGTACCATGCAGCTGTGTTGCAAAAAGCTCTGTAGTGTTTTTTTTGTATTTTTTTGCTCACTATGGTACTTGTTACTATCGGCAAACATGTTCCATTGTGTGAGAGGTTAATACAGTCCATTGATGTAATAGGAGATCATCTTTTGCTTGCCCTTGGTCGTATATCGGATCTCAATACAAATCACCCGCAGAAAAAAAATTGAATTTTTTTTTTTTTAGGGGGGGGGGGGGGGAGTTGTCAATTTTGACGGTTTTGTGCTCTCTCCCTCTCTCCGGGTGTTTGCAGAGTCCTCTTGGCGTGAATGCTTCGTGTTTGTCTATGAACAGCTGTTGGTGAAGTTTATAGCTGTACGGTGAATGCCCACCACAAGTCTGACATGGAGGCTGTGGAATCAATAGTATAGAAGTGCCGCTGTCAGCAGCAGGCTTGGCATAAGGCCAAGGAAGTGAGTGCCGTGCAAACTGCATATAGGAGTGGTGTTGTGCATTGCAGGTGTTTTGCTGCTGTGGCAGAAATGAGAGGGAAGATTATCATAGTCCTTGGGTGCAAAGGTTGCCTGCTATTGCTAATTTCTCCTTTTCCAGGCATAGGCTATTCTCTGTGTAGTTGTCTGCTACCTGTTTTGCTGTCGCTGTACGAATGCCTGGACGGCAGGACAGTTTTCCAGGGTTATTTGATCCTGTTCACGGCCTTTACGAGCTATCAATGAGAGTAAAAACAACCAGTTCGTCTCAATGGTGAAGAGGCAACTTTAATGTGCAACAGTTGTCACCAACAAACTCTGAGAGACAGACCTGAAGCACAAAGCTTGCAGAAACAGTACAGCAGTATTTCACAGTTCACAATATCTCGGGACTTGATTGCTTTCATAGGCTGCCATGTATTTCTCCAATGCCCTAGGCAGTTACTTTGCACCTAGAAATTTGTGGTTAGTAGGTACAAAGACCCACAAGCGCCGAGAAATAATTTTACGAGGGCTCGATGGCTCTGCAGCCAAACTCGGCGAAACATATTGGTATAGGCTTTTTTTTTTGCGACGCACATTCCAAAGATTTTTTGTAGTTTTTACCCATTTCACAGTAACATTGCCCTTATAGTTTTTTATTTTCTGATGTTTCATATTCTCGTTGCCTTGCACACCGCAGTGTTGTCACAGTCGTGTCTTGTTAGTAGAAACGCCCGCATTTCCCCCAAAAATCATCCAGAACAATGAGATGGAAATGTATTTTTGTCACATTCTTATGTGTATTCACCCAAATCTTCTCCGAAAGATTTGTCTCTGTGGCGGAGTATTCATATTGACGGCGTCCCTATTAATGGCATCCCACGCGAGCAAATGCGAGAAGGCTATCAACCCCGCTTTCCCGAGCGGTGAATGCGCCCCTTTGTGACCCCCGCAACTCAACCTCACCCCAGTACCAGGTGGGCCAGCTGTACTCGGTGGCGGAGGCAAGCAAGAACGAGACTGGGGGCGGTGAGGGCATCGAGGTAATCAAGAATGAGCCCTTCACCAATGTGCCCCTGCTTGGCGGCAAGTACTGCACGGGCCAGTACACCTACAAGATCTACCACCTGGCGAGCCGGGTGCCGGCCTTCATCCGCATGGTGGCCCCAAAGTGTGCCCTGGAGCTGCACGAGGAGGCCTGGAACGCCTACCCCTACTGCAAGACTGTGCTCACCAACCCGGACTACATGAAAGGCAACTTCACCCTTTGCATCGAGACCATGCACGCTCCGGACAACGGCTTCCAGGAAAACGTTAGTGTGCTCGCTCGCTCGTGACTTTTCTTTGAAAGAAGGGAGGGGGGGGGGGTCGCACAGGGGTGCTGGCTTCCATTTTCTCGTGTTGCGTTACGAATCGCCGAGACATCCATGCTTCGTAGGTTGCGTGCAAAGCTGCTACTTTAATTGGTTAATACCCTTTATACGAAAAACGTCCCGGTGACTCTTGACGTAAGCTTTCGTAACATAATGTAGCGTAAGCAACCGGGGCTGTGTGAACGGGCCTCTAAGCTGATGGTGCGGTGGGGTCTACGTGCTTGCCAAACCAATCATCCCCTTGCCTTTTATGACCTGACCCCGCTCGGCATGGGGGTATGGGGAGAGCGATCATGTGGCAAAAGATAGATGCATGACTGGTCTAACGAGCGTGAAACTTCCCCTGCACCATCAGCTTAGGGGTGAATTGAGTTTAAGGATTTATGCAATTTTCTGCAATTCTTGTGGAGCCACAGGTGCAGCAGACGCTCCTGTTTTGCCGTGGTTCGCCCTGCAGCCAGCCAGTTAATTGAAACTGGCAGCCATGGATTGGGATGCAGCATTGCCTGCGTCCGCTAGTGTTCTTTGCAAGCTCTTTTACCGTAATATCCCGACCCTGAAAAATGCGTCATTAATACGTCACTTGGTATCGAGTGAAAACCAATGCCCCCTATCTTTGGCACGATTTGCTATTTTTCTAAAAATACCGAAAGATGGCCCACTTCTGGTAATTGCAGGGCCTTGTCCAATGGTGAACTTGGCAGAAATGGTGTTACTTAGCCACAGCGGGAGATAGGCGAACATTGCTGACTGGTAGCGGATAGTTGCTTTTTCACAAAATAAACCCATTGGGCGAATCTGGGGTGCGTGAGTGGCCTTTTTTAAGGCGTCACTAATGCGTGCTCTGCCGGCGGGTAAACACACGCCAGTGGTTTCACGGGTACACAGATGCCGCCTCCAAGGTAGAGATTCCGTCTTGAGAGTTTTGCTTGCTAGCTAGCTGCTTGGCTGGCTTCCGGCCCTACCTTCGCATTGTGCTTCTACACTTGAATTATTGTGTCACAGCCCAACGTTTTTAGCGCTCCACCACGTGGTGTTGGAATTTGTATTTGCCGCCAAAACTAGCCTCTTGTTTACCGCCTAACATCAGCTGCGCGCATCGTGTCGACGTGAAGCGGTGTGAATGGGGGGGTGTTAACATGTGCCTCAGTGATACACCCTGCCGTCAATTACTGCTCTACCGAAAAAGGCGACCCCCACCGCCATTTTTGCCGAGAGCAGTCTTATCTTAAACAACGAACAATGCACACAAAAGGGTCATTGTCATCTCTTGCTTCCGAAAGAGAGAGACAGTCAAATTGGTTAACCAGGGCATTTTTTTTGCTCCATGGTTTTACTCCGCAAGTTGCAATGCGCTGTCTGGGAAGGATTATTGTTTTTGGTTCATCACCCTGCCCCCCACTTCATGCGACCGCAAGTTTCGCAGGTTACAAAATTTAAAACGCTTTCTTTCTACTTTTTTTTTATTGCACACCGAAAGTTAGCTTACTCCTTATTTTCATCCGATTTGCTTTCGATTTTAGGTGGGCTATCTCTCAAGGATTTTACGGCATGCCCAGCTACTGAGCTCCCGACAGCCTGGCGCATTCTGCAGCGGCTCCCAAAATGGCAACTTTTTGTTGCCATTTTGAAGATGCTGCAGTGCATGATTCATATTCAATGTCAAATGTACCAGTCAGATGGATTCCAGGCACCGCACCTACGGTGCACGCATATCGGAATTAAATGGGCTCTTCACATCTCGCATTGGAACTACCTGCGGCAGAAAGCAGACACTCGACCGGGAGTGTACATGCAGTGACGTTAGGATGTAAAAGCTCGAGACCAAGTTTTATACCCCATAGACTCATGAGCACAATCCTTCTCCTAGATTTCTAGTTTTTTCTATCGTGGGACTGAACACGACCAAAATTTAGGTTACAGAATTCTTCGTGGGTCTTGGAAGAATTTTGTTGTGTCTCACAGACTGACCAGCTGGTGGATAAAAGCAAGAAATAGTTGGATGGTTCAGTGGAGCTCTGAAAAAGAGCTGAAAATGCTGGCCTTAAAGGGATACTACAACAAAATTTCGGCACTTATTTTTCGGTCTATATGTGTTCAAAGGAGCAGTATTACATCGGACACACCAATATCCTGTTAACAAAGACACGAAAAGGAATTTTAAAACGAATAAACTATTAGCAAAGAGCACCTGGTGAATGTCGCTAACGTCTCGTTTGTAATGACCATCTAGGAACCTTGTCAGATAGTGACGACGTTTGTCTGGCCTCCAGCCACCACGAGAGAAGAGGCGGAAGGAGGAACTCCCCTCTCCCCGAGAATCTTTTTTGTGTGTCCCAGAAGTCGCTGTTGTCCCTCTTCAAGATTATAGAAGATTAACTTGTCACTCAAAATTTGTACAAAAGCAGCTGCTTCGGTGGCTGGGAAGACTAGGCTATCCTCTTGACGTGAGCCTCGCCCGTGGCCTAGCCGCAGCTTTGCTCGTCCTGAGACAAACTACGTTACGATTGCGTTGGATGTCATGTGCTCTCCGCTGGCTGTTCTCAGAGTGCTTGCCAGAGTGGGCCGTTTATAACGAAAAATACAGCCACCAGGCTCAAAATACAAACGTGCGATTGTCATTTACGGATATTGTGGATCATATTCAACCTATTTTTGAACCCGACGGGTATATTTCAAATTGTTGGAGTATTTCTTTAAAGAGATGGTGAACCGAAATTTGGATTTCAGAAAACAGTGCAGGAGCTGTAGGTGGGACGCTACAATCCCTACAACACTATTCATCGGCGATATCTTGAATGGACGGCCCTATTTTTGGAAAAAGAGGTTGGGATTGAACGAGGCCAACGAGGCGTGTGATGTGAACATATCTCGTTTCCTCCTCTCTTCGCTTCGCCCCCTCAAAGTGGCGATGCGGAGAAGGTACGAGGCCGTTCCCTCTCCTTCTCAGAGAAACAAGACTTGAACATATCTGTCAAATGCACCTCCCTTGTTGAAAAATGCAGTCATCCGTTCGAGATATCGCTGTATGAGTGATGTTTTGGTGTTCGTAGCATCCCGTTGCACGCGTTTGCCGCCATGTTTCGTGGAATCCAGATTTCGGTTCAGCATCCCTTAAAGGTGCCCTGCAAGGACTTTTTTACTGGTTTTTAATTTGCACCGAATCTGAGCGCACTGAACGTAGTAACTTAATGAAACTTTTCTTTTCTCAAATTTCGCTTTATTTTAAAAGTTGTAGGAAACTTAAAATTACAAAAAACAAGGAAAAAATAACCTCCTTCATGACGTTCTTGGTTGCTCGAGTGGCCGTGAACTAGACGAGGGGTGGTGAGCTCGGCGAGCTGTCACGGCTGCCGCACTCTGTGTCGACGGCTCGAGAGGGCATCACTAAAGCATGTTCTGGATATGCTGTATGAAGCGGGCAGCCGGGGCGGCTCGCATTGCATTTACTGCGCAATTAAACACTAATTCGGCATGACACGTCATTGGCCACAAACGACAGCAAACACAGGGTAAAGATCAGTTCAGAACGGGAGCCACTTTGCACTGCCATACCACCAAAAGGCCAACCGCAAGCCAAAGCTGCTCGCCGAAGGCCTTGGGGAACGCTCGGAACCGGTCGGATCCTCCAGTTCGTACAACCACAGCACCACCGCGTACATCTGGGACCTTTCTACGCTCGTCGCTTGTTGGTGCCTGATCCCACTACACCTTTCTAGTATGCGCCGCCTTTTTCATTGCTTGGTGGCGGGTATGTCGACGGGTCATTTCTTGTTTCCGTATTTTCTAAACTGCATTTGTTTCTTTTCTGATCTAAAATAGTGAACAAAAACTACTTTTATATATAACTGAAATGGTTCGCGCCCCTTATATTTTGTATTTCGACAAAAAAAGAAGCTTTTAGCGGCTCTGACCAGTAGTAAGCCCAGGACCTAAGACGTCGCATATTGCGCTCTTTCCGCACCGCGGGTCGCCCCCGTAGGTTAGGTGGAGGAGGTTTCCTCGTCGTGCGGTTAAAATATGACGCAGTGATACTTAGTTACTCTCTGTGCCCGCTGGCTTGCCCGAACTCCGAGGGACATGGAAACCGCAAAAAAGGAAGACGCTTAAATATGATTGCAGGGCCCTTTTAAGCGGGACGGTGTGGAAAGTTGTTTTGGGGTCGCTGAAGTTGCCTGCCCCCTTGCAGGTTCACGAGTTGCCCCCGGAGAAACTGAAAATCCGGGAGGTGGACTACATCGACATTGGCGGAGATCCCGTGCTGCCAAAGGTGAGAGTCCCTCTTGCAATATTAAGCAGGCGGATTAACTCTCCTAGTCCCTGCAGAGTTCTAGAGCCACAAGTAGGAACTACGACATTCTGCTAACTAAAGTTCACACAAAGAAGCCATGGCAAGCTATCGAAATAACACTGATGTAACAATTCCTTTCAATATACTTTTTTTTTTCTTTGTGTTTTAAGGCTCTACCTTACAGCATTCTTAACTTCAGATCTTCTGAGCCATTTGTGACTTCTGTGTTGTAGGTTAGTGTGGTGTAGCTCAGAATTGAATGCTTTATCTTTGTCCCTTCCCATTGTTTTCGCGTTGCATGTCGTGCAGAGAAGCATTGATTGGCGGTTATCAGGAGCTGACTATCAATAGCTGACCATCACGTCGACTGGTGATAGCATATCGAGAGTTTTGCCAACTGGTCACAGTGGGAGCAGTTGTCTTTTATAATTTTAACAGTAGTCATCGATTGATAACGCCGTTGACAATTTTTATGCCATCGAGACTTTTATCGAAAACAGAGTGCAGTGGAACTTGAGAACATTGTACCGAAAACAGAGTGGAATGGACCTTGAGAACGTTGTACCGACAACAAAGAGTGTTGCAGAATGCGAGTCACTTCCCGTTGAGGTGACTCCCCATAATGAGACATTCTCCCTTTCTTGCCAAACGAAGGTGGTACCTAATGTTATTAGAGCAAATGAATTGTAGAATTCTGCTCCTCCAAAAGGGGTCTCCTTTGTGCATTGCCTGTGAGGGGGCACACGCTGAACATTAAGGGACAGTACCGTCATCATTGACTTCCCTTTGTGCTTTTGGGTGACAGACATATTGCAAACTGTATAAAAACTTGTTTACACTAATTAAAAAAAAAAAGCTTGTTTCATTAATAACATACTTTCTGTATGTTACTGTGGAGATCAAAATGCATTTAAAATCTTCGCCTACTAAAGTTGCAAAAGGAAGCATCTTTATGTGCGTCATACTTGCAGTCGAATCACTATGTTCACCTACACCAACATTCACTGCTAGAAAAATTCATGAAGTTTATTTTTTGTTTGGCATTATGGCTCTATTTGTATTAATGTTGAATCAGTAACTCTTTCCAAACGTGAATTTTCACCGATTAATTAATCTGGCAGGTTTTTTTTGGCGGTCTTACACTGCATGGTTTGACGTACCCTGAAATCCTGTAAGAACGCCTGCCCAAAGTGAAGAGATAAAAGGTGAAAAACATGGGGTGGGTTATCTTTGGGGATGCCACGGCAAAACTTGATCAAAAATTAATGATAAGCACCTGAGCACCCCCTACAAAACATGTGACGCGGGAATTGATACCGCAGATAGCGGACGCGGCAAATTCGCGTTTCACGATGCGATAAGCACGCGGAAATTCGCTACGAACTCCTGTGTGATGGGAAAGGATACCGCAAGTGGCCGACGCAGCAGATTTCGCAGTGCGAAGGACTCGCGGAAACCCGCCGAGAACTCTCATCTCACGGGAACGGATATTACAGATCGTGAACGCAGCAGATTCATGTTTCATGGTGCAAAAAAGTCGCAGGAACCTGCTACAATCTTGCCTTTCAAAAACCGATACCCGTGCGCAGGTCGCGGACGAAAACGCGAGAATATGCTACAAACTCTCATGTCACGAAAACAGACGGCAGATCACGGACGCAACAAAATCGCATTTCACGATGCATTATACACGCAGAAACAACTCGCGCGTGTTACAGCCAAGAATCGATATCGCACGCGCAGGTTGCGGACAAAAACATGGGAATCCGCTACGGACTCTGGAACGGATAGCGCAAATCGCGAATGCAGCAGATTCGCATTTCACGATGCAATATACACGCGGGAACAACTCGCGTGTTACGGGAGTCAATATAGCGCGCGCAGATGGCAGACAAAAACGCGGGAACCAATTATGAACTCTCTTCTCGGACACACCGGTACCGCACATAGCGCTGTTGGTGCGCAATTCTTGTCGGACATTGCTTGACGTCCAATGGGATTCGGGGGGTGGGCGATGTTTCGGAATTTTTATGTTGCAGATATTTAGCCAGAAAAACGGGATGGGCGATCTCTCGGGGGAGGGCGCCCTTACGGGATTTTACGGCAGTGATTCTTTGTCTTGCTTCCTTTGTTTTCCTTTTTTGTGTCAATGCATTTTGTTATGAAAAAAACCGACAACTTGAGAGCCAGCACTGTGGTTGTGCACATCTTCCCAACTAAGGTGATCTAGCAACATCTTTGACAAATTATAGTCCGACGTCATCGGCCACAACCACTTTGGCCAACGTGAAGTCATTTAAGGTCGTCTCTTGCTTGAGCTAGTTGTTGGACCATGCTTTAAAACGGGGAGAACAGCGTACACAAAAGATTACCACGAAAGGAAAGGGCTCAGACACAGTGCTGTGCGTGCGCTTCTTTCTTTTGTCTGCGCTGTTCTCACCATTTGAATTTAGGATCCTGTTAATAGCTTTGCTCCAATGACTAAGGTGTAAACTGTGTTTGGCAGCCCGGTTATGCAGGAAGCGGCTTTACATCACTGCACTCTGGCAGCTTGGTGCTGGGAACCCAGCTTGAGAATCCACATAGTGAGAGCCGCTTTGTGTAACGTGAAGTAGCCCTGCCTCGCGTTTGATAACCCTCGCTGTCGGCATCTTTCGCACTCTGGCTGCCCACTGACTGAGCCTTGGGTCCCGTTGTCGGCAGGACTACAAAGAGACCGAGGACCCGTCCAAGTTCACTTCGGTGAAGACCGGCCGGGGCCCCCTGGTGGGCGACTGGGCCAAAACGGTGAATCCCGTCATGTGCGCCTACAAGCTGGTCACCGTGGAGTTCAAGTGGTTCGGACTCCAAAACCGTGTAGAGGCCTTCGTGCAAAAGGTGAGCGCTCTGGCCTACTGCTTTTCTTCAGCCACTCCCTTTTCTCTCTGTACAGTACAGCCTGCTTATAACGAACGCCACGGGAATCTAAATTCAGTTTGCTATATTCATTTTTCGCTATATGTGAATTTCGAGAAAAAAAAAAGCGAGAAATCAGCTGCTTCAGCGCGCGATTTTAATGCTTTCCACACTAGCCGTCGATTCGCGACTGTACGTATTGCGTAAGGGACGTCTTCACAATCGCCTGTTCGATTGCGTCGAAGTGCGGGAAAAAGTTTTGTTCAAGTCCGACCTGCTCGGCACCAGCGAAGTAGCCTCGGAGGGTCTCCGCCGCGGTGAGAGCCGTTCCGGAGGACACCGACTTCTTTTCAGAGTCGTTGCCACTCTCGTCACTTTCACTACCCACCTCCGCATTGACGGGGCCAGAGTCAGAGTTCTTGAGAGCTTCATTGGGAAGGCCTCATCAGAGGAGACTCTCCACAACCCGGCGACGGTAATGGACCTTTAAGTTGGCAATAATGCCCTGGTCCATCAGCTGAAGCTTAGCCATGGTGTTTGGCGGCAGGAAGAGGACTTCCACGGCGTTAAGCAGCGGATTGATGTGATGTGCGCTACAGTTATCAACCAGAAGCAGAACTTTCCGTTCCTTGCCCGCCATGTCGTTGTCGAAGTCTGTCGCGGTGGGCAGCAGTAGGTTGTCAGGTAGGGTTTCGTGAAATTCGTGTACTCCCGCAACGAGGCGTTTTTCATGCAGGTCTGTAGCGCCAGACGTCAAAACAGGAGAAAAAACGCGGAGCAAACAGGAACGGCCGAAAACCCGAAATTTCCCGCATGACGTTCGCAACAGTGCACGTCGTGCATACTGCGGAGAAGACAACTTACGGAGCAGCGCGAATTGCTCCCTCGCTCGCACGAAACGTGGCGGTCGCCTTAGTTGCATTATCGGTGTGCAGTTGTTGGTTTTTGCGGTCATTTTCAACAATTATATCGTAAATAGCATTTTTTGCACTTAATTTGAGCATGTTTTTGCAGCTTTTTTTTCGCTATATCCGTGGCGGGCCTCCCGTGGTTTTCCGTTAAAAGCGGGCTCGTATCTCATTGCAGGTATACAAACGGTAACGGGAAATTGAAATCCATTCGCTATATCCATTATTTCGCTATTTCCTGGTTCGTTCTAAACGGGCTGTACTGTACAGCAATAGCTTTATGTTTGAAGAACAGGTGCATGGATGCAGAAGATAGGTGCTTTATACATTCACAGTACCGTTGCTACATGTCACATTGCATATCAATCAGATTGCAAGTGCTGCCCATTAAAAACTCCATCAAGTGCTATCATACCTTTGTTCCATTTGACGGGTTGTCTAAGCCAAGCAGGCAGCTGCACTCATCCACAAAGCCGCAATCTTGGCCGGCGCAGCACCCTTATTAATTGTGGGGGACTTTACGCGCGTCACCAGGCATGGGGATATCCGCGCTCACTACCCAAAGGCGTAGCCATATGGAACACGCTCCAGACGGACCATCTCACACTCATAACCGACCCGGATTATCCGACCCGCGAAGGGAACAGCGTGTCTCCGGATACGACCCCGGATCTTTCCATCACGCGCAACATCCCGCTAGCCACATGGTCGAACACTCGAAACACGCTCGGCGGCGATTACTTTATTCTGGAAATAATGATCCCCGACAACACGCACAAGACGAGAGACACCCGGAAAAAGTTTAGTTAATTGGGACCATTTCCGGGCCCTTCGCGAAGAGCAGGGGGAGGCTGTCGACCTGGGCAGCTGGACGCGTTCCTTACAGGACAGTGTCAGGCAGGCCATGGACACGGTCCCTGCCCCCCGCAGGGGGCACCTGTGAAAGCAGGTGTTTGGAGAGTGGCGTCTCCACGGACCCCGAGCCATGCGGGTTCGCCCGCCCACGTCTGACTGTGCGTGGCTTTCCCGTGTCTGGGGAAAAGGGCACCCTGGTGGTTGAGCCAAGCCCGGGGTAGGTTTGGACCCTTCGGGGCCCCCCGGGCGAGGCAATACACCACTTCGGCCCCCGCTTCTCATAGACGGGAGTCCTGGTAAGGCCCGGCCAGGATGATTCAGTCTAGTCGCCACTTCTACTATCCCCTCTCTACTTTTACTTTTGTCTGCTCCTCCTTTTCACTCTTCTCATTTCTCTTCTTTCCTTTTTCAACTCCTTTGGCGGCAAGGGCTAACCTTGGGTGGCGAAAGACCTCTTGTCCAAAACCACACTTGGTTATAGAGACTGGGCAGCACTAATAGAGTAACGTCTTCAGCCAAGCCCATCTTGTTATGAAGCGTTACCTATTCCCTTGTTGGGCTCGGTGGTGGGCGGTGCACCACAGTTTCCGAACACCATTCCCCTCTTATGGGTTCCAAGCTGAAACAACCTGATCGGCCTCCGAAAAGAGGCCGGACCGAAGCACTTTCAACATTTCTAAAACAAGACAACTCAGAAGACCACTTTACAAGATTTTTCGTCTTACACTCCGACGACACTTCTAAGCCGCTGTCAAAACTATCTCCATTCCTTGTCGCCAAAACTCTCCAAAACACGCTCGGGGCAAAATATGAAGCAAAGAAGCTTTTTTCCGGTGACCTTCTTGTCGAGATTCATGAAAGATATCAGGCAACTGCTTTGCTTAATCTGAAAATGATACATGACCTCAAAGTCACTGCATCTGCACACCGTACGTTGAACACCATTTGCGGTGTGATATCAGAGGATGATCTTATAACCAGTTCTGAAGAGGAAATCGTGGAGGGTCTAAGCACTCAAGGTGTCGTGGCCGCAAAACGAATTAAAATTCGTAAGGATGGTGAGGGACGACCCACCAAACACGTGATACTAACATTCGAGAAAAACTCGCTGCCCCCTACTGTAAAGGCGGGTTACATCAACTGCAAAGTGCGGCCATATGTCCCGAACCCGCTGCGCTGCTTTCGCTGCCAGTGGTACGGTCATGGTTCACGAGCGTGCCGTGGTCGTGAGACCTGTGCCAGGTGCAGCGGAACTGACCATACCGCTGATGACTGCAACCTTGACTATAAATGTGCAAACTGCAACGCCGACCATCCTGCCTACTCTCGATCATGTAACTACTTTAAAAAGGAAAAAGAAATACTTGCTCTCAAGGTGAAAGAAAACATTTCCTACCAGGATGCAAAGCGCCGCCTCTCTGCTTTCCAGAGAGGCTCTTTTGCCGAGGCGGTGTCCAGCAGAGGACCTGCACCGTCTAAGGTATCAGTGGCGACCCAGGTGTCTTTTTCAGACCACGGGAAGCCACTGCAGTCCTCTACGCCCAGGCTGAAGCTTGCGCTTCCTGGGCATTCTATCTCAGCTGCGAAAGCAGCAGATCCAACTAGTCGCACCAAGGACATAGGTGCCGCAGCAGCAACGGAGGTCACGCCTTCGTCCCTGCCTCCTGGTCCCTCCCCTCAGGCAACGGAGCGAGTGTCTCGCTCCTCCTCCCCGGGGAGAACTTCCCCGTCTAGGAGGCAGCACGTGCCACGTGCAACCGACGATACCGGCGGGACTGCGAGCCGACCTAGCACGTCGACCGCTGCCCCATCAGGTCAATGCAGGGGCCGTGGGTTGCCCTTACGATCCGTAGACAACTCCAAGGCCTCCGGTAAGCCTGCCAAGAAGTCCCTAGAAGCAGAAAAAACTGTAGAGGCAGGCGACCTTTCTGCCCCAGAGCCAGAACCAGAGGATATGGAGTGGCAGACCCAGAAACCAAAACATAAAGGGAAAACACCAGTTTTCGCTCCTAAATGAAACATCACATACATCACCCCTTTTTTCTATCACTCCTCTGATAGTTAAATTTCTATAAAGAATGACGGCGATCATCCAATGGAATTGCCGAGGTCTACTGAGGAACTTCGATGATATTGAATTCCTCCTGGAGCAACACCGCCCACAAGCTTTATGTTTACAAGGAACACATCTCAGTTCAAAGCATACTAACTTTCTTAGACGCTACCATATTTTTAGAAAAGACTGAGAGGATGCGTGTATTTCTGCAGGAGGAGTTGCAGTGGTTGTCCCAAAGCACCTTCCCTGTTCCGAAATCGCTCTTGATACTGCGCTAGAGGCAGTAGCAGTGCGTCTCCTCCTTCACAAAGTAGTGACTGTTTGTTCCTTATACATTCCTCCTTCTTTTACTTTTTCGACAAACGATTTTAATGATCTTTTACTCCAACTCCCGGAGCCCTTTCTTTTACTTCGAGATTTTAATGCCCACAACTCTCTATGGGGTAGCGACCACGTTGACGCCCGTGGTCGAATGATTGAGTCAATTTTAATGTCGCATGCACTTTGCCTTTTTAACACTGGAGAACCGACCTATTTTAGCCCATCATCATTATCGTCCTCATGTATTGATCTTTCCATCGGTAGTGCATCCATTTTTACTTCTTTTACGTGGGCAGCAGGCACTAACCCATATGGAAGTGATCACTTTCCTATTTTCTTAAAGAACACCGTTCCTCCAAAATGCATGCCAACGCGAACTGCCCGTTGGAAGTTTGAGAAAGCGAATTGGTCTCTTTTCACTGAAGCGACACAACTTGCATGCACGTCACTCGATGAACTTTCTGTCGACCAAGTTACAGAGTTGCTGAGTAATTTTATTCTTCAAGCTGCAGAGCTTGCTATTCCTAGGACTTCTACGCATCTCCCGCGGCGGCCCAAGCCGTGGTGGAATGAAGAGTATACTGAGTCAAGGAAAAAACAAAACAGAGCCTGGGGTATCTTTCGACGTTACCCCACGCAAAGCAACCTCCGCTGCTTTAAGCAAATGAAAGCTCGGGCAAGGTACATCCGACAACAATCAAAGCGTAAAAACTTCCAGGAGTATGCCTCTTCCATTAATAGTAGTGCAACAGTCAAAGAAGTCTGGGACAAAGTTCATCGCATTGAAGGGAGATATCATGCCTTCTCAGTCCCACTCCTCTCCTACAATGGCATCTGTCCGG